TATGCATGTGGGAACAAGGGGGACAGTTCTGTGGATATACAACTTCTGTGTTACAAAGAATGCTACATATTACTGTGTGGTATGCACGTGGGAGTTGGTATGACTGAGTGGTATGGACGTGGGAGTAGGTATGACGGAGTGGTATGCACGTGGGAGTTGGTATGACGGAGTGGTATGCATGTGGGAGTTGGTATGACTGAGTGGTATGCACGTGGGAGTTGGTATGACGGAGTGGTATGCACGTGGGAGTTGGTATGACTGAGTGGTATGCATGTGGGAGTTGGTATGACTGAGTGGTATGCACGTGGGAGTTGGTATGACGGAGTGGTATGCATGTGGGAGTCGGTATGGCGGAGTGGTATGCATGTGGGAGTTGGTATGACTGAGTGGTATGGACGTGGGAGTTGGTATGACTGAGTGGTATGCATGTGGGAGTTGGTATGACCGAGTGGTATGCATGTGGGAACAAGGGGGACAGTTCTGTGGATATACAACTTCTGTGTTACAAAGAATGCTACATATTACTGTGTGGTATGCACGTGGGAGTTGGTATGACTGAGTGGTATGGACGTGGGAGTAGGTATGACGGAGTGGTATGCACGTGGGAGTTGGTATGACGGAGTGGTATGCATGTGGGAGTTGGTATGACTGAGTGGTATGCACGTGGGAGTTGGTATGACGGAGTGGTATGCACGTGGGAGTTGGTATGACTGAGTGGTATGCATGTGGGAGTTGGTATGACTGAGTGGTATGCACGTGGGAGTTGGTATGACGGAGTGGTATGCATGTGGGAGTCGGTATGGCGGAGTGGTATGCATGTGGGAGTTGGTATGACTGAGTGGTATGGACGTGGGAGTTGGTATGACTGAGTGGTATGCATGTGGGAGTTGGAATGACCGAGTGGTATGCATGTGGGAACAAGGGGGACAGTTCTGTGGATATACAACTTCTGTGTTACAAAGAATGCTACATATTACTGTGTGGTATGCACGTGGGAGTTGGTATGACCGAGTGGTATGCATGTGGGAACAAGGGGGACAGTTCTGTGGATATACAACTTCTGTGTTACAAAGAATGCTACATATTACTGTGTGGTATGGACGTGGGAGTAGGTATGACTGAATGGTATGCATGTGGGAGTTGGTATGACCGAGTGGTATGCATGTGGGAGCAAGGGAGACAGTTCTATAGATATACAACTTCTGTGTTACAAAGAATGCTACATATTACTGTGTGGTATGCACGTGGGAGTTGGTATGACCGAGTGGTATGCATGTGGGAGCAAGGGAGACAGTTCTATAGATATACAACTTCTGTGTTACAAAGAATGCTACATATTACTGTGTGGTATGGACGTGGGAGTTGGTATGACTGAGTGGTATGCATGTGGGAACAAGGGGGACAGTTCTGTGGATATACAACTTCTGTGTTACAAAGAATGCTACATATTACTGTGTGGTATGCACGTGGGAGTTGGTATGACTGAGTGGTATGCATGTGGATAAAGGGGGACAGTTCTGTGGATATACAACTTCTGTGTTACAAAGAATGCTACATATTACTGTGTGGTATGGACGTGGGAGTTGGTATGACTGAGTGGTATGCATGTGGGAACAAGGAAGACAGCTCTATGGACATACAACTTCTGTGTTACAAAGAATGCTACATATGACTGTGTGGTATGCACGTGGGAGTTGGTATGACTGAGTAGTATGCATGTGGGAGTTGGTATGACTGAGTGGTATGCATGTGGGAGTTGGTATGACTGAGTGGTATGCATGTAGGAGTTGGTATGACGGAGTGGTATGCATGTGGGAGTTGGTATGACGGAGTGGTATGACGGAGTGGTATGCATGTGGGAGTTGGTATGACGGAGTGGTATGCACGTGGGAGTTGCCATGACGGAGTGGTATGACGGAGTGGTATGCACGTGGGAGTTGGTATGACCGAGTGGTATGACTAAGTGGTATGCATTTGGGAGTTGGTATGACCGAGTGGTATGACCGAGTGGTATGCATGTGGGAGTTACCCAGCTGAATATCGGAGGCCGACAATGCTCCACTTCTGGTTGCTGGTTATGAATCATAATACATAAGTGGCATTTCAAGACATCGGTAACGTAAATATCTTCTTTTTGGACGTATGTGGTTCTGTTTTTTCTGGTTTAGATGAAAATTGGTCATGCGCCAAACACAACACTGTCGACACTGTGTGTCGAATGAAGGAAGAGGGCGGGCAGTCAATGTTGACCACAAAATGTGCGGAAATGTGTCAAAGATTTAAGTGAGGTGAGGTGAGGTGAGGTGAAACTGGGTTAAACGTCGTTGGGTTATAGCGACGTTCATGCACGTGCGTGTGTGGCTGCTTGTACTAGTCCGGACTGATGCCGATTTATAGTGCTAGCACACTGAGATACCATGCCGCAGTTTTACATGAATATCCCACTCAGACACAGTATACTGACTCCGAGCCGACCAGTCCTTGTTTTAGCCCCTTAATGCCGAGCGCCAGACAGGGTAACAACAAGTACCATCTTTTAACGTCGTTTGGTATGACGTGGCCGGGGATCGAACCCCGGACCTTCCGCTCTCCGGGCGTACGCTCTACCTCGAGACCACGGAGGCGGTCTCAAAGATTTAGGAGTTTAGCAGGATCGTTTTCCGGTGTTTCAACATAAGCATTTATATTAGGAAGTGTAGTTAACATAGTACGACTATAAGGGATCGTGGGTGGCCCAGTCGTCTAATGGGCCGCAGTTCGCAATGATTGAGGGTTCGAATCCCGATTCGGCACGATTATGTTTCAAGCTTTGTCAGCACCATATCCGTGTTCGTATGTTTCACCAAAGTGGTGAACGTCTAAGACCTGCCTCACATCGGGTTTTCTCTCTAGTTGTAATGTAACTGGAATACTGTTCAAAGCGGCGTCAAACATAACTCACTCGGATTTGCTCATGATTAGAATTTCTATTTCACGTTCACTATCTCTCCGAAGGCAAGTGTCCTTGTTCGAAATATGTTTGTGTCCACCGAGCAGTGAATGGGTACCCGGTAGGGTCAGATGGTAATGTTACTTTGGTAATGTTTTACATGGCGCCTCACAGGTACCGTGGGTTGGAAACTCCTGAGGGAGCTGAGAAGGAAAAACGACTGCATACTGATCCATAGACGGGGTAATTATAATAATATATAACGCCTTGGACATTCACTGTGTGGAATGTGGTGCATTGTGGTAATAGTAGTTGTAGTAGTAGTTGTAGTAGAAGTAGTAGCAGCAGTAGTAGTAGTAGTAGAAGTAGTAGCAGCAGCAGTAGTAGTAGTAGTAGTAGTAGAAGTAGTAGCAGCAGCAGTAGTAGTAGAAGTAGTAGTAGTAGTAGTAGTAGTAGAAGTATTACTAGTAGTAGTAGAAGTAGTAGTAGTAGAAGTAGTAGCAGCAGTAGTAGTAGAAGTAGTAGTAGAAGTAGTAGTAGTAGTAGCAGCAGCAGTAGTAGTAGTAGTGGTAGTAGTAGTAGTAAAAGTAGTAGCAGCAGTAGTAGTAGTAGTAGTAGAAGTAGTAGCAGCAGTAGTAGTAGTAGAAGTAGTAGAAGTAGTAGCAGCAGTAGTAACAGTAGTAGCAGCAGTAGTAGTAGTAGTAGCAGTAGTAGTGGTAGTAGAAGTAGTAGCAGCAGCAGTAGTAGTAGTGGTGGTAGTAGTACAAGTAGTAGTAGTAGTAATAGCTGTAGTAGTAGTAGTAGTAGTAGTAGTAGCTGTAGTAGTAGTAGTAGTAGTAGTGGTGGGGGTGGTGGTGGTGGTGGTGGTAGCAGTAGAAGTAGTAGTAGTAGAAGTAGTAGAAAATGTGCAAGTGCCAATTGTAAGTCACAACTTTCAGGACAATATATTTTAAAAGATTCTGTAGTTCCAGAATTTGAGAGCCTTCGCCTTTTAGTGTCGTCTGCATGTGGAATTTGGAGTTCCTGTTTTGTTCCCCCGCGGCATGTCTCGCGACTCGAATGTCGACAGTGAGCCTGCTGAGTGAGTGAGTGAGCACCATACCCGTGCTCGTGGGTTTTACTGAAGTGATAAACGTCTGAGACCTACATCACTTCGGGCTTTCCTCCCACATCAAGCTGACACGCCGTGATTTAACTGGAATGCTGTTAAAAGAGGAGTTAAACCCAACTCACTCACTCACCCACTCATTTGACTTCAGACTAAACCATGCTCTGTGCCAGTCATGACTCATGACACAGATCACGGGAAGAACGCGACAGTGGTGTGAAGGAAATCAGACCACACACACGGATGTGAAACTCTCCATAGTCATGTGGCTGCGAGCGGCCATATTAGCAGCGCGTGCAGCGTTTGTGCATTACCAACACAAACTAAAAGAAGAGAACGTGCACATGTATTATTTAAAGCCCTTGTTCAAAACGAACTTACTGCTAAATATACCGCAATCACCTGACTGCCGATCTTTACCGGGATTGTTTGTCTGTTTGTTTAACGCCGCACTCAGCAATATTACAGCTATATGACGGCGGTCTGTAAATAATCGAGTCTGGACCAGACAATCCTGTGATTGACATCATGAGCATCAATCCACGCAATTGGGATACGATGACATGCATCAACCAAGTCAGCAACATGACCACCCGATCCTGTTAGTCGTCTCTTACGACAAGCATAGTCGCCTTTTACGGCAAGCATGGGATGCTGAAGACCTATTCTTCACGGGTCTTACCCGAATTGATTAACCACGTGATCAAAACTCAGTGATTATGTTCATCGGCAGCAAAATTGACATTTCTTGAAAAGAGCACTTTGCATGTTTTGTCATTACTGTAAGTATTCTTCATTATCGCCGGAATGGCTTAGTTGCACTTTATAAGTATTAGAATAAACAGCTATCTTCAGTAATTAATAGGTTTATTAATAGGTGTCTTGGTTTTCTTAGTGACGACATGAAGTGGATTTAAAAGAACCTTTATGACAATCAATAACACTCCGATACATTGCAAGGGATTTACCATAAGTAAAAATACTTCTTTGTGTGACACTGAGACGAATAAGGAAATGAACATGACGCACGTCCTGGCAAATCGATGTTTGGCACAGATCCACTGTAGGAGGATGTAACTGACACGTATATACTAGTACAGTGAGGTTCGTCTTTAGTGTCAGCGAGCAACATCGTCAACGTGATAGTTATCGCAGGGACTAACGTCAGAGATATGTCTGGGACGCTCGAGGATGGTAAGGTTTGTCTGCTACATACCAGTGTACTATGTGAGGACGTAGATAAGACGGGGGGATGTGACATTAAGTTGTATGTATTGTGTTATATTGACAAATGCAGCTATGCACGGTCGTGTGGGGAATCCAGCATACGTGTATCGACATGCATTGGATTGCGCGCTTCATGAATTTTCAACATCAATGTCCACAGAACCGGACAGATAAACTGACGACCAAAAGACACTTTACCATAATTCCCCAAATAAGCTATAATCATACGCTACAACTTTTCATAAATGTTTATAATCATTCGATGAATATCAAGATCGCTTACGATATTTCCTTACATTTATATCAACCAATGAAAACACAACTACATTTTTCTGTTTCCGTGTTTTGTTTATTCCAAGCAGTTAGATAATGTGATCATGCTTCGTGACGTCAGAGGATTCAGGCTCAATACATCCGGGTCCCATTGATTGTCAGTAAAAACCGAGCCCTATATATAGGCAGCGGCTACACAATGGCGGCTTCCGTACACTGATTCCAATATGGCGGTACATCGACTCTAAGTTACTCCAGGTACTGTCAACCACCTTTAGGAAGCTACTTAATGCGACACCATATGCTTACTGTTTACGCGAATGACGGGACTGGATTAAGCGGATATAGAATTTTTAAATGCAAATTAGACCCTGCCCACCTCCAAAGGTAGAGATGAGAATTGCCACCACATTTACACCACCTACTACAGGAATCGCCAGTTCCACACACGAGTGGGTCGGTGGGGGAGCCAGGTGGTTCGATTCCCCACGTGGGTACAATGTGTGAAGTCCATTTTCCCGTGTCCCCCGCCGTGATATTGCTGGAATAGTGCTAAAAGCGGCGTAAAACCATACTCACTCACTCCACACAAGAGTAATTTTATCGAACAAGGGTGACGTTTAACATCACGATCAAGATCAGTTCAGTGTTAATAATGCTTGGCCAATGCGATACCATGTCGCTGTTTAACATATATACCCACTCAGACACAGTATACTGACTCCGGGTCGACCAGTCCTTGTTTTGTTCTCTTAATGCCGAGCGCTAGGCAGGGTAACAACAAGTAACATCTTTTAACGTCTTTTGGTTTGGCGCGGCCGGGGATCGAACCACCGACCTTCCGCTTTCCGGGCAGACGCTCTTTCAACTAATCCACTTAGGCGGTCTTCTCCAACAAAAGCTTTAAAGACACTGAATATATTACACACGTTAATCATGACCTGGCGATTTACCATCTAACACGTCCCATTTTAATTCTGGAAACCCAAAAGTCCAGAAACTCTACGGTCTTTTCCCAGTCTCGGTCAAAGGTATTGACAAAAATAAGCATGCTGTTTTCATGGGAACAAACTAAGGAAGAAAAAATGGAAAAAAATGTTTAAAAACTCATGGGCGAAGATTGGCCCATGGGCGATAATATTTTCCCTTACTCAAAACTCAAAACATGGGCGAGATGGTGTAAATATTGAGTTTTTAAAGTTGTTTTTTTTCATTTTTTCTTCCTTAATATTTTCCCACGAAAACAGCATGCTTATCTTTGTAAATACCTCTGACCGAGACTGGGAAAAGACGGTAGAGTTTCTGGACTTTGGGGTTCCCAGAATTAAAATGGGACGTGTTCATGATCTGTATTTTCCTCTGAACTACAGCCAAAACCCGGCGTCAAATCATTGCCGTTATCAAAATACAAATATGTATTGTTGAGAGGAAGCCCGACCGATAACATAATTTTATATAAGAGTCCCGGATGAACGCAGTGAAGTGCTCAATGCAACTCGGGTCATTTCCTCGAATTCCATTTCCAGCTAACAAATCGGTTGATAAACCGGAGATACGGGAAAGAGGATTTTCTTAGATCAGTTTATTTATAGAAAGGAAATTCCGCGTGTTCAGGAAGTTGGCATAAAATAAATTTGAAAAACAAAATGAAATACCAGCATTAGGTATGTGTTATTCAAGTAAGTAGGTGTGATGTGTTAGTTTCTTAACACGTGATCCTCGAGAGGAAGATCCTTCATCATTAGGCCAAATGACGGTTTACTGGACGCGAAGTTCTTTTTGCCAAATCATTGTTGTAATTCGTTACATTGGGTACAGGTGTCACATAAGGTGACGCTAAGCAACGCTGTCGGCGGAGAGTAAATGGATTTTCTTCATGAGGGGTAGTCGGGTAGCGTTCGCTCGTTGTGCCGACGACTCGGGTTCGATTCCCGACATTGGTGCAGTGTGTGAAGCCCATTTCTGGTGTCCCCGGCCGTGATATAGCTGGAATATTGCTAAAAGCGGCATAAAACCAAATTCACTCACACACTCTTGTGTACATGACCTAATGTTCTTGAATATATGACCTTATGTTCTTGTGCTTATGACCATGTGTTCTTGAGTAAATGACCTTACGATGTTCCTGTCCTCTTGTCCAGAATCAACCATGGAAGTAGTGGATCCCTCCGCCTCTAAGGAGAGCGCGATGGCTGCCCTGGACTGGTGCGTTCAGAAGGGGAAACACGACCTCATCCAGGCAATACTGTCCACCCACTTCACCGACTCCAAGATCTCAGAACTTAGAAGGGAATGTGTACATGTTCTGAAGCAGGCCGTTGTTTCCGGGAAAGAAGACGTTCTCGTGTCGCTGCTCAAACACGTGGATGACGTACACATAACGTGTGATGAGGTCATCACAGAAACTGCTTACGTCAACATTAACGGGCTTCTCGGGAAAGCAGTGGAACATGGTCACGTGACTATCGTTGAGGCCCTGCTGGGACGGGGCGGTGATGTGAACAGCTGGTATCAAGGGAAACCACTCTTGCATCTTGCTCTCAGTCTACGTCATGACGAACTTGCAAAGTTATTGGTCCGGTCCGGTGGTCACGTGGACATTGTGGACCAGAGAGGGGAAACGCCACTTACCACGGCCATTTCTCGACCTGGCGAAAAGGTAGTGTGACCTACATTACATTTATTGGCTGGATTAATCAGGTGTCTTTACTTATGTCATACGTGCACATGCTCCCTCTGAAGAATACAACAATATGCTACTACTTCTATACACAGTCGAAGGAGCCGTTATTCACTTTGCCGAGTCCCAGCCCTAAAGCCAGGATCGAATCTAGATTTTGTTTTTGGTTTGTCAGCACCATACCAGTTTCCTAAAAGTGGTAGGCGTCTTCTTCTTGGTACACTTGGGCTATCCTCCTATCACGTCGTCATATGACTGAAATAGTAATCAAAGCGGCGTAAAACCCAATAGTAAACCTATAGAAAGTGTGTTCTGTGTTGTGATTGGCTAATTTGGGTCACATGACCAAATGTCAAAGGGTGAAAATATGATTTGCATTCCCTGAAGCAAGCGACCGAATCACTGTGTAGGAATCCTAATATTCTAAATAAAACAATAGGTTTACAATATCGATAAATAATATGTGTGTGTCTATTTCCGGGATTTTATCGAGTATTTGCATCTTGGAAATTCATCTCGAGACCCGAAAGCGTTAGCTTTCACTCAATGTGAAATCGGATTCCTATAAACTGGATTTGGGCGAGTCGAGTCCTAGAAGTAATTCTGGACATGTATTCGATTCCAATTTCTGGACCTCACTATAGATGTGTTAGGTTTAGTGTCCTAATTTCAACCGTTAATACATCGTTACTCCTCGTCATTATGATACAACAATTCTAACGTTTTATCAGTTTATACCGATATATTCATGGTAAGATATATTAATGTGTTGTTGTTGATTTTTGTTGTCAGGGAGACATAATCTCATGGCTCATGCAACGAGGTGCTGACCCTGAACGAAGAATGCCGAGCGGAAAACAGGCTATCCATGTAGCCGCCGGACAGTGCCCGTCCTCCGTCAGGCTTCTGGTTGAAACCGGATGTGACGTCAACGCTATCCATGACGTCACTGGTGACACCCCGCTTCACGTAGCGTGTACTCGTGCCTGCTCTGAATCCATTGTTCTTCTGATCAGGAATGGTGCTCGTTTCAATATTCAAAACAACAATGGTGAAACGCCGCTTCTGAAACTGTTGAATTACGCAACGAATCCACACGACTTCAGTTCAAAAACTAGAAAGAAACTAGCCAGGACCCTCATCGCTTTGGGATTTCGTATAGGCGATAAATTCTTGTCAAAACCGAGGAATAGAGTTGGCAGAGTTAAGCCCCTTGATGTGTATAAGGGTCTTGTCCGAGAACAATCGTTTGTGCCACGATTACAGCATTTGTGTCGGACGACCATAAGAGACCATATGCAAGGGAGACAATTCTGTGACAATGCATCCGGCCTCGAAATACCGCGTCATTTGAGATTATATCTGCAATTTAGACCATCACTGATTGACGAAACAGTTTCGTCGACAACGTAGCATTGTGACAGTGTATTACTGTTGTTAGGAAAATCCTATTCTGATTTAATAGGAAAGGTGAAAATGAAAATTCTTTTCATGATTCCTTTTCGTAACATTCAGCTTGTCTCGGAATGACACCAGTGACCACGAATGACGTTTTGTTTGTACATGTAGCCCGAAGGGATGCCGAAGGTTCTGATTGTTCAACAATAACCACTCATATTCCTGTGAAGTTTAGAATATGTTTCCTATGTACATGACTGTGGCTGTTTGTTTGCTGGTTTGTTTGTTGATACACACGCACTCAAGGTCTTGAAGGGGACTACAAGTACCATGTTACCAAACTTGTCCGAACTGAATTGTTGACATGGTCTATCTTTATGAGGGCGGTTGGGTAGCCTAGTGGTTAAAGCGTTCGCTTGTCACGTCGAAGACCCGGGTTCGATTCCCGACAATGTCTGAAACCCATTTCTGGTGTCCCCCGCCGCGATATTGCTGGAATATTGCTTAAAATCGGCGTAAAACCTCACTCACTCTGTTTTGATGAGGGTGTTTAACCGGTGTTTGTGAATTATTAAAGTTGGACGAACATTCCTAATTTCAAAAAGTCTAATATCGTTTTGGTGATTTACGGAACAGCAACCCAACAATGGGATAACTATTACAAGTTCAGAAGACGCGTGTTTATCAAGAATAGAAACGCACTCTTGAGACAACTAAATCTTTAAACACCATCTTCGTGTTTCAATGGCCTGTCCAGCTGCAGCACATTCTTCTGGTAGGTTCCCAGTACGAATATACAAAAGGGAGTTCAAGCAAAATACCGCATCAGCAAATAATTAGAAAACTTAACCGTGTATAAATAACTTGCCTACGACAGTGACGACCAGGAAATAAAATGTTGACTAATAACTTTATTCATGTATGATATATGACATCACCCTATTATATTCTTTTTATCAGAATACCAATCTATTTCGTCCTCTCGTAAATTAACATAGGAAGTGGTGTTATATTTAAGAGTAAATCAGCCAACGGAAGTCATATTTGCGCCAAACACATTGATTTGTGAATTAGACATAGGCAAAGTTACACAAAGTTATCCAACGATTAGACCTTGACCCTGCAGCTGAGCTATAACCTGCTCAGCTTGGCTCTTCATCGTTTCTCCTCGATTCAAACATTCTTCCACGTAACCTATTATACTGGAGAGCTCTTTCCTCAATGCATCGTTAGAGTGATCTGTAAGATCAAATGATATATATATATAATATGCTTAACTTATGTATGACATGTTCGGCTTTTAATGCACCATTTACCCGTGTGTTCAGCAGAGGTGATTGGCTGTTCGATAGACACCAGGGGATGTCAGCAGAGGTGATTGGCTGAACGATAGACATCCCCCTTGATGATGTCAGGTGGACCAGTCACATTATAGATTATTTGTTTGCTCGTTTGTTGTTTAACGTCGCACTCAGCAATATTCCAGCTACATGACGGCGGTCTGTAAATAATCGAGTCTGGACCAGACAATCCAGTGATTGACACCATGAGCATTGATCCACGCAATTGGGATACGATGACATACATCAACCAAGTCAGCTAGCCTGACCACCCGATCCCGTTAGTCGCATCTTACGACAAGCATGGGTTGCTGAAGACCTATTGTAACCCGGATCTGTACGGGTCCATTACGCTATATATATACTAATATAGATAGATAGATAGATAGATAGATAGATAGATAGATACTTGGACGTTAACAGATGTTTCAAGATGGCACTTGGTTTACCCTGCCTTCAGCTCGACAATAAGGGGACAGAGCCGGGAGTCGGTATACTGTGTCTGAGTGGGGTATCCGCTTTAAACTGCGGCATGGTTTCTCAGTGAGTAAGCACTATAAAGGCGGCAATAGTCCTGACAAGTACAGGCAGCAACACAGACTCCTGCATGCACTATATAAATGAAATAATCTGAACGCGACCTTAAAACCCATCTCACCTCATACGTCATGGAGAAATCACGGCTGATCCTACTCTCCGAATTAACAGATTCGAGCGATCTCTCCGACCTAAACCATTTTATGGTTGATATATATTTTCTCTATCATTTTCCATAATGACCAATCAACTGCAATAATAATAGCGTGACGTCATCATAATGGTTCACCAAATGAAACACAACATCCTGACTTGATTGTTATACACCACGTGGCAATGACGGAAATTATTTTTATCAAATTTAACTTACCTTGCTGATAGAACAATTTCATGAAACCCGTGTGTCGCCAGCGGAATTCGAACCTGCAAAGGCCGTACCGAAGCCTAACCGATGTAGATTTCAGCCACAATGTCATGGTAGAAATCATGTGGAGTTAAGAATTACATATTTACTTAATGCGTTTATGAACGGGTATGTTTGTGATTTGGTGGTAATGCTTTACAATTACTCTGTTCTTGACCAGGGCTATGATTGCTCGTAATAGGACCGTCAACATCGGCACATTTTACACATTTTAGTGAGTGAGTGAGTTGGGTTTAACGCCGTTTTTAACAGTATTCCAGTTATATCGCGGCGTGTCAGCTTAATGTGGGAGGAAAGCCCGAAGTGATGCAGGTCTTAGACGTTTACCACTTCGGTGAAACCCACGAGCACGGGTATGGTGCTGAAAAACCTAGAAACATAATCAGGGCGAACCGAAACAATCATAGGTTTCTGGCGTTCCCAAGGGACGCAACTCTGCACAGCGAATCGCGGCGCCTTAGACGACTGGGCCACCCGTGCCACTTTACACACTCTAGGTGCTAAGGTTCTTTGAATGTTGGTCAAGGTTTGAATAGGTTAGAACTCGGACCATGCTGTCTTATCGTAGTCGTACTTTAGGGACAATCCATTTGATTTCTATCGGGGTGGGAAGGTGTTTTATATGAATAGTTCAGAAATATACCCAAATGAATAGTTTGTTGGCGGTAGCGAAAAACAGGTTAGTTTGTTTTGTGGAAAATACCCAAACGTCAAATGCGTTGAAAATGAATACTTAGTTTGATGGAGCTCAATGATTTATAATTTGTTTGAAACAGCTGTGGAAAATAGATTGCCCTAACTAATACGTCCCGCCTCCCGCCCAAATCCCTTCATTATAATCAAATCACATTTCAACGCTTAGACATCAGATCCCCGAGCGCTAATCTACACTTATCGACCTTTACCTTGAGCTGACACGTGGTTAAGAAGGTAATCAAGGCCATCCTTCATCGATTGTGCTTGTAGTTTGAATGCTCCAGCCGTAGATATCAGATCTGAGAGGGATGTCTTTATCGCAGAGTAAGAGGGTGCTGAAATAAAATGAGGAGTTATGGTGAGTTTGTGACTTAATGAATAACATGTATCATGTACTAATCTGGAACAGATGATTGGCTGAACGGTAGACAACGCCCTTAATGGGGCCACTTGGACGGTAGACAACACTCGTCATGGCGCCACGTTCACAACAGTCACATGAAAGAGTAACGACTTCGGTCAGTATCATTCCTATATCCTGACAGATAGTAGGAAGTCAATATCCCAAGTTGCCCGAAATGTTTGGTTAAGCAAAAAGTGTAATTTCTCGACAGCGGGACTAGTGCCGTCCAGCGGGTCGGGTTGCAATGAGACTTGGGCGTGGCAGGCCTACAAAACGACACCATGACAAAATCGTCTCGGTACCTTACTAACTTACACCACGCAGCAGGGGGGGGGGCTTGGGTATGATACTTGACAGGCGAACTGATTTTGTTATTGTTTATGGACATTTGACTGGCCAGCGATATGATGACGACATTTTGCGTCCTGTGCCTCCATTTGCTTCAATTTTCGGCAGAAATTTTGAACTGCCAGATGACAATGCCGGACCACATCGGATCTAGATCAGCGATTATCCCCGACGAGACGCCATACGGACATTGGACTGGCCCGCTACGTCCCCTCACAGGTCCCCAAAGAGTATATGTGGGGTGTTCTCGGTCGCAGAGTGAACGCCAGAGGCCAAGCTTGGGGAAGCTCTTCAGGTGGAATGGCGTGCAATACCAAGGGCAACCACACAGACGCAGTTAAATCAACAGCCTGCCTTCAAGGTGTCGTGACCGCCTCCGTGGTCTTGTGGTAGAGCGTCCGCCCGGAGAGCGGAAGGTCAAGGGTTCGATCCCGGGCCGCGTCATACAAAAAGACGTTAAAAGATTGTACTTGTTGTTACCCTGTCTGGCGCTCGGCATTAAGGGGCTAAAACAAGGACTGGTCGGCTCGGAGTCAGTATACTGTGTCTGAGTGGGGTATTCATGTTAAACTGCGGCATGGTATCTCAGTGAGCTAGCACTATAAATCGGCATCAGTCCGGACTAGTACAAGCAGCCACACACACACACATACACGTGCATGCACGTCGCTATATAAGTGCAATAATCTTGGACGCGACGTTAAACCCAATTTCACCTCACCTTCAAGGTGTCGTGCATGTATCGCCCTACATTGTGGACACCCAGATATTGATCTGCATGCCGGAAAAGAAGTTAACAGATACCTTCACTATCATTACATCAGGTCCCCTATCTGTCGGTTGTATGTATGAGTGAGTGAGTTGGGTTTAACGCCATTTTTAACAGTATTCCAGTTATATCACGGCGTGTCAGCTTAATGTGGGGGAAAAAACCGAAGTGATGCAGGTCTCAGACGTTTACCACTTCGGTGAAACCGACGAGCACGGGTATGGTGCTGACAAACCTAGAAACATAATTGGGGCGAACCGGGATTCGAACCCATAATCATAGGTTTCTGGCGTGGTTTCTGGGGACGCAACTCTGCACAGCGAATCGCGGCGCCTTAGACGACTGGGCCACCCGTGCCGCCCTAGTAAGTATGACGTCGGCCTGTTAATAATCACATCTGGACCAGTCGGCTGCAGTAATGCCCACTTATAAATATAATTATCTGGATAACTTGGATAACACAGTATACTGACTCCGAGCCGACCAGTCCTTGTTTTAGCCCCTTAATGCCGAGCGCCAGACAGGGTAACAAGAAGTACCATCTGTTAATGTCTTTTGGTATGAAGCGGCCCGGAATCGAACCCCGGACCTTCCGCTCTCCGGGCGGACGCTCTACCACTAGACCACGGAGGCGGTCCTATTTTTGAAATGAGAAAGGCACTCAATCTGTTATTTCTTCATCGCGTAATTAAACATAGGAAGTGATGTTATAGCGCAAGGGAGAAATCAGCCAACAGGAGACTTATTTGCACCAGTGAGTGAGTGAGTGAGTGAGTTTGGTTTTACGCCGCTTTTAGCAATATTCCAGCAATAATCACGGCGGGGGACACCAGAAATCGGCTTCACACATTGTACCCATGTCGGGTCTTCGGCCCGGGTCTTCGGCGTGACGAGCGAACGCTTTAACCACTAGGCGACCCGACCGCCCATTATTTGCACCAAACACATTGATTTGAGACTAAAACAGGCAACCACAGCAAAGCTGTCCAACGATTTTACCTTGACCTTGCAGTTGACCTACAGCCAGCCGAGCGTCGTCCCTCATGGTTCCTGCTTTAACCAACAAATCGTGACCCTCCCCATGCAGTTGACTGAGCTTGCTCGTCAAGCCATTATTTCCTGAAATATCACATATTGAAATATTAAATATAAAATGTGTATGACACAGTCGCCCATTAATGTACCATTCAAAAGAGCCTATGTAACGGATGGTTGAACGGTAGACCACACCCTTAATGGTGTCACGTACACACCAGTCACATTGCAGAATAATATGTTCGGCAAGTTTCATACATCTGTTCCTTGGACAAAGTGGATCAGTAGTTGTCAGGGAGTTCACAGCCGAACTCTTCTACGTTCCACATAAGGATCAGCGTCCATCTTAACCAAGACCGCCTCCGTGGTCTAGTGGTAGAGCTTACGTCCGCCCGGAGAGCGGAAGGTCCGGGGTTCGCTCCCCGGCCGCGTCAAACCAAAAGAGCCGAGAAGGGTATTGTGTAAAATAGGATTTCATAGACTTAATGTTAGTCTACACGTTAACGTGCGGCCTGGTATCTCAGTGGGCTAGCACTATAAAACTGGCGCACGTGCACGGGTGTCGCTATATAAGTGCAACAATCATGTGCGCGACGTTGATTCCCATTTCAGCTCTCTTCATCTTCATCTTCACCGAACGAAACACCACATCCGACAACTACATTATACACGGGTGGATTTGTCCATGTGACGTCAGCTCTCCGGAGAAGGTAAACATCAATTTGTCACACTGCCATTACGTAGCCATCCCATCCTATTAATTAGCCATGGCGACCACGGTGTTCTATCCATCCTATTCTGTAACCATGGCGACCACTGTGTTCTATCCATCCTATTCTGTAACCATGGCGACCACAGTGTTCTATCCATCCTATTCTGTAACCATGGCGACCACTGTGTTCTATCTATCCTATTCTGTAACCATGGCGACCACAGTGTTCTATCTATCCTATTCTGTAACTATGGCGACCACGGTGTTCTATCCATCCTATTCTATAACCATGGCGGCCACGGTGTTCTATCTATCCTATTCTGTAACCATGGCGACCACAGTGTTCTATCTATCCTATTCTGAAACTATGGCGACCACAGTGTTCTATCTATCCTAGTCTGAAACCATGGCAACCACAGTGTTCTATCCATCCTATTCTGTAACCAGGGTGACCACAGTGTTCTATCCATCCCATTCTGACACTATGGCGACCACAGTGTTCTATCCATCCAATTCTGAAACTATGGCGACCACAGTGTTCTATCTATCCTATTCTGACACTATGGCGACCACAGTGTTCTATCCATCCTATTCTGTAACCATGGTGACCACAGTGTTCTATCCATCCTATTCTATAACCATGGTGACCACAGTGTTCTATCCATCCTATTCTATAACCATGGTGACCACAGTGTTCTATCCATCCCATTCTGACACTGTGGCGACCACAGCGTTCTATCCATCCTATTCTATAACCATGGTGATCACAGTTTTCTATCCATCCTATTCTATAACCATGGCGATCACAGTGTTCTATCCATCCTATTCTATAACCATTGTGACCACAGTGTTCTATCCATCCTATTCTGTAACCATGGTGACCACAGTGTTCTATCCATCCTATTCTGTAACCATTGTGAGGGATGTGTCCATGATCATCATGCTTCTTCCAAAATCGACAGTTCATGGGTACCAGGCCCACAGCAATATACAGTGAGACGTCGCTATATCTATTAAAACAAATGTCACTCAATTTGCGCGTTTCTTCAAAAGACAACATTGACAAATAAAAAATCGGCGGTGTTATTGTTAAACGTTGCGTTGACGTCCGCCAACAGTATATCTGCGCCCAACACAGTGTCTAAAGCATACGCATCGGCAAGTAAAGCAAACATATCGAACGCATTACCTCCAAGATCCACGTCATAGTAAACAGCGTCCTTGATCACCTTTGCTAGACTTTTCAACTTAGAACCCTCAGATGCTGTTAGGAGTAATGTCTGTAACGGAGAGTCGGGTTGGCCTGAAATATGATAACGCGTTATCATGAGTGTTGGACTTAACGAAGGGCATGTTCCCCCTAAAATGGACCTTCTACCCGTGAGTCCAGCACAGCCTCTGTTACGGGTGGTTGGCTGAACCAAAACACCCTTGATGGTTTCACCTGCACAATGGTCACATTACAGATTAATAGATAGTTTGACCAGCATCATGCATATATGACAGGATGTTGAAAGATGGTACTTCTTGTTACCCTGCCTAGGCCTGTCGCTCGGCATTACCCGTAAGCCAAGTAGAACCGTTTTAACGGGCTGTTGGCTGAACGGTAGGACCGATTTAACGGGCTGTTGGCTGAACGGTAGAGTCGTTTTAACGGGCTGTTGGCTGAACGGTAGGACCGATTTAACGGGCTGTTTGTTGAACGGTAGAACCGTTTTAACGGGCTGTTGGCTGAACGGTAGATAGAGTCGTTTTAACGGGCTGTTGGCTGAACGGTAGAACCTATTTAACGGGCTGTTGGCTGAAAGGTAGAACCGTTTTAACGGGCTGTTGGCTGAACGGTAGAACCGTTTGACGGGCTGTTGGCTGAACGGTAGAACCGTTTTAACGGGCTGTTGGCTGAACGGTAGAACCGTTTTAACGGGCTGTTGGCTGAACGGTAGAACCGATTTAACGGGCTGTTTGCTGAACGGTAGAACCGTTTTAACGGGCTGTTGGCTGAACGGTAGAGTCGTTTTAACGGGCTGTTGGCTGAACGGTAGAACCTATTTAACGGGCTGTTGGCTGAACGGTAGAACCGTTTTAACGGGCTGTTGGCTGAACGGTAGAACCGTTTTAACGGGCTGTTGGCTGAACGGTAGAACCGTTTTAACGGGCTGTTGGCTGAACGGTAGAACCGTTTTAACGGGCTGTTGGCTGAACGGTAGAACCGTTTTAACGGGCTGTTGGCTGAACGGTAGAACCGTTTAACGGGCTGTTGGCTGAAGGGTAGAACCGTTTAACGGGCTGTTTGCTGAACGGTAGAACCGTTTTAACGGGCTGTTTGCTGAACGGTAGAACCGTTTTAACGGGCTGTTGGCTGAACGGTAAAACCGCTTAACGGGCTGTTGGCTGAACGGTAGACAATACCTTCAATGGTGTCACGTGCACAATAGTTACATAACAGAGTGAGTGAGTGTATGAGTGTATGAGTGAGTCAAACACGTCGAGTATTGACGACGCGCCTCCTCACAAAAGGGAATGTCAATCAGCGGAAACGTGTTTCGGGACCTCAATCCGTTTGAATGTTTCTTTTTCTAGTGAAATATATATACACCATCATAAGTTTCAGACCGTTGTTTTGTTTTTGTTTGTTTGTTGTTTTGTTTATGTTTGTTTGTTTGTTTGGTTTGGTTTGGTTTGTTTTGTTTTGGTTTGGTTTGGTTGGTTGTTGTTTGTTTATGTGGTGTGTTTTTTCTTTTCTTTTTTTTTTCTTTCTTTTTTGGGGGGGTTTTGGGGGGTGGGGGTGGGGGGTCCTAGCCTAAGCAGTTCCCAAGTACATCCCTTTGAAGGGATCGACAGAACCCTATCACCTGTTTATCGATTCCAAACACAATTACTTACCTGCCGCGTGATATAGCGGGTTATTGACGACTCTGGCTTTAAACAACACTCACTCACTCACTCACTCACTCACTCACTCACTGACAACTACTTGCACATTGTAGACCAAGTACATGTAAAAATAAGTATCAAGTGAACCTACTTTGTAAAGTCGATAAAGTCAATAAAAACTTTTTCAGCTTTGTTGTTGATGAACAAAGTTGTTCACATCAGAATGATGTAAAATACGCACTTGTAACGCCAGCTTGTGTTGTTGCTCTGTCAACCGTTGCCTGTAAGAGAAGAAACTTATTAACGCAATATTCCAGCCACATGACGGCGGTCTGTAAATAATCGAGTCTGGACCAGACAATCCAGTGATTGACATCACGAGCATCGATCCACGCAATTGAGATACGATGACATGCATCAACTAAGTCAGCGAGCATGACCATCCAATCCCGTTTGTCGCCTCTTACGACAAGCATAGTCGCCTTTTAAGGCAAGCATGGGTTGCTGAAGACCTATTCTACCCGGATCTTCACGGTTCTCTTTGAAAGGTGCAATGTATGAATCTATCCCACGTTAACTGCTCGCGGGAGGAAGGTTGGCCTGGTGATCACAGCCTTCCCTCGTCACGCAAAGGGCCCGGGTCCTATTCCTGAAATGTGTGAAGTCCTTTTCTGGTGTTCTTAAACTGAACTGTTGTAAAACACACAACGACAACTAACTCCTACAGTAAAACTCTTACACCATAACCTGATGCTGATTCTGCTGATGCTGATGCTGAGGCCTTCATAAGCTTCATAAGCTCCGCCAGACTGCACACTAAGCACTATCGTGGAAGCTAGGTTTTATACCCCAAGTTCCTGAACCAGTTACTTTTAAGTAACCAAACATTTTGAAACAAGCAATCAACAAACAGCGTTGTTGTTGTCGAAGATGGAATTACCCATTGTTCACTAAGGAATGGTATAAAACATGCACTTGTGAAGCCAGAAAATATTTGAACGGGAAACATGAACGGATGTTGTTACTCGACGCCTGGCTCCCAGTGTCAGATTACAGCGGCCAGTAAACTCGCCTCGTTCATGTATATGGTTCATAGCTTTCAGCAAAATAGGGGCGGTGGGGTAGCCTAGTGGTTAAAGCGTTCGCTCGTCACGCCGAAGACCCGGGTTCGATTCCCCACATGGGTACAATGTGTGAAGCTCATTTCTGGTGTCCCCCGACGTGATATTGCTGGAATATTGCTAAAAGCGGCGTAAAACCCAAACTCACTTACTTCAGCAAAATAAATCTGCAGACACTTTGACAGAAGCCCTGATCCTTATACTCGGAACAGCCGTTACTTCATAAGTAAATAACTATCAGCATACCAGCATGTACAATCCTCAACAGTTTTGCGAACGTTGTAACGTTGAGGTAATCTCTTTAGCCAGCGACGCCCAATGCAAACCGACAAATTAAATATCCCGGTGTCAGTGATGCCTATTGCAACAACCTAATTAAATATCCCGGTGTCAGCGATGCCTATTGCAACAACCTAATTAAATATCCCGGTGTCAGTGATGCCTATTGCAACAACCTAATTAAATATCCCGGTGTCAGTGATGCCTACTGCAGCAACCTAATTAAATATCCGGTGTCAGCGATGCCTATTGCAACAACCTAATTAAATATCCCGGTGTCAGTGATGCCTATTGCAACAACCTAATTAAATATCCCGGTGTCAGCGATGCCTATTGCAGCAACCTAATTAAATATCCCGGTGTCAGCGATGCCTATTGCAGCAACCTAATTAAATATCCCGGTGTCAGCGATGCCTATTGCAACAACCTAATTAAATATCCCGGTGTCAGTGATGCCTATTGCAACAACCTAATTAAATATCCCGGTGTCAGTGATGCCTATTGCAGCAACCTAATTAAATATCCCGGTGTCAGCGATGCCTATTGCAACAACCTAATTAAATATCCCGGTGTCAGTGATGCCTATTGCACCACCCCAATTAAATATCCCGGCGTCAGTGATGCCTACTGCAGCAACCTAATTAAATATCCGGTGTCAGTGATGCCTATTGCAACAACCTAATTAAATATCCCGGTGTCAGTGATGCCTATTGCAACAACCAAATTTAATATCCCGGTGTCAGTGATGCCTACTGCAGCAACCTAATTAAATATCCCGGTGTCAGTGATGCCTATTGCAACAACCTAATTGAATATCCCGTTGTCAGTGATGCCTATTGCAGCAACCTAATTAAATATCCCGGTGTCAGTGATGCCTATTGCAACAACCTAATTAAATATCCCGGTGTCAGTGATGCCTATTGCAACAACCTAATTAAATACCCCGGTGTCAGTGATGCCTACTGCAACAACCTAATTAAATATCCCGGTGTCAGTGATGCCTATTGCAACAACCTAATTAAATATCCCGGTGTCAGTGATGCCTACTGCAGCAACCTAATTAAATATCCCGGTGTCAGTGATGCCTATTGCAACAACCTAATTAAATATCCCGGTGTCAGCGATGCCTATTGCAACAACCTAATTAAATATCCCGGTGTCAGTGATGCCTATTGCAACAACCTAATTAAATATCCCGGTGTCAGTGATGCCTACTGCAGCAACCTAATTAAATATCCCGGTGTCAGTGATGCCTATTGCAGCAACCTAATTAAATATCCCGGTGTCAGTGATGCCTATTGCAGCAACTAATTAAATATCCCGGTGTCAGTGATGCCTACTGCAACAACCTAATTAAATATCCCGTTGTCAGTGATGCCCACTGCGAACCAACTAATTAAATATCCTCGTGTCAGCAATGCCTACTGCGAACCAACTAATTAAATATCATGGTGTCAGCGATGCCTACTGCGAACCAGCTAATTAAATATCATGGTGTCAGCGATGCCTACTGCGAACCAACTAATTAAATATCCTAGTGTCAGCGATGCCTACTGCGAACCAACTAATTAAATATCCTGGTGTCAGCGATGCCTACCGCGAACCAACTAATTAAATATCCTAGTGTCAGCGATGCCTACTGCAAACCAGCTAATTAAATATCATGGTGTCAGCGATGCCTACTGCGAACCAACTAATTAAATATCCTAGTGTCAGCGATGCCTACTGCGAACCAGCTAATTAAATATCATGGTGTCAGCGATGCCTACTGCGAACCAACTAATTAGATATCCCGGTGTCAGCGATGCCTACTGCGAACCACTGGCCTAATTGTATTCTTCGTGCCAAATGCAAACTATCATTGCGTGGAGACAAACAATGAGTAAGAAACATTTCTTTGCCTCTCCCTGGAATTACTTTAGGTCAAACATAACAGATACCCAGAATTACTTCAAGTCAACATAACAGATACCCAGAATCGCTTCAAGTCAAACATAACAGATACCCAGAATTACTTCAAGTCAACATAACAGATACCCAGAATCGCTTCAAGTCAACATAACAGATACCCAGAATTACTTCAAGTCAAACATAAGAGATGCCCGGAATTACTTCAAGTCAACATAACAGATACCCGGAATTACTTCAAGTCAACATAACAGATACCCGGAATTACTTCAAGTCAAACATAACAGATGCCCAGAATCGCTTCAAGTCAAACATAACAGATACCCAGAATTACTTCAAGTCAACATAACAGATACCCAGAATTACTTCAAGTCAACATAACAGATACCCAGAATTACTTCAAGTCAACATTACAGATACCCAGAATCGCTTCAAGTCAAACATAACAGATACCCGGAATTACTTCAAGTCAAACATAACAGATACCCGGAATTACTTCAGGTCAAACATAAGAGATGCCCGGAATTACTTCAAGTCAACATGACAGATACCCAGAATAATTTCAAGTCAACATAACAGAATCGCTTCAAGTCAAACATGGCAGATACCCGGAATTCCCACGAACCAAAAATACATAAACAGTATCACACACACACAAGGCACTATCAGTCAACACAACGGAATAGTACGTGATGTAGTTGAATGTCGCCAACGTCCACAATTCGCTGTAGAGCGTTCACGTGTCAAAGGCTCGTGAAGGTAGTATTCAGGTAAACTGGTATACTCACAATAATAAAGAACAGAACACCTAGTTGAGTCCACATCTTGATGTCAGCTGAACACTCCCGGCACATCAGTCGTCAGCGTTCAGCACCGGTATATATACTAGTATACAATAGAATATGTTGCAATACAGTAGATAAACATATGGTTGATTCTCAATGGAAATGTACATTTGGGTCGTCATTGCCCGACCACCTCCCACAGCTTTGATATGTGACTATGTGCCAATTCGGACACTAGACTCACTGACAGCAATTAAACCAGAAAAACCCATACATTCGTTTAGTTTTCTGAGAGTGAGTGGATATGGTTTTACGCCGCTTTTAGCAATATTCCAGCAATATCACGGCGGGGGACACCAGAAATGGACTTCACACATTGTACCCATGTCGGGAATCGAACCCGGGTCTTCGGCGTGACGAGCTAACGCTTTAACCACTAGGCTACCCGACCGCCCCAGTTTTCTGAGAAAGACGGCCAAAGATCATAAGGTTCAAATTGACACCTACATTACTCTATGAACTCGTATGTTTAGCATTACCTTCCCAAAGTATACAATTGTTTAATGAGAATATTTTACACAATATACCACTTTTCCATTGGACGAGAGGCCTGTCACATGACCGTGAAACTGAAGCTCATAAGTGTATAAACGACACATTTTGACATTCATATGTTTTTGAAGAGACTGTATTCTTGAAATGACGTAAACACTGACGGACTTCTTACACATACCTGGGGGAAAGCTTGGGAATTCCCAAGCACAAATAGATAGATACAGAAGCGTTGCTTCTCATCACTTAGACCCTTTATCTTTAACTTAGCGTTTGATTACATGCCCGTCCAAGGATATCCTCGCTACAACCCATCCTAGAGAACAGAACGAAGAAAAACACATCCAAACTATCGTAGTATCGACTCGATCCGTGTTTTGACTACAGTGACAATCTATGAATTTACCTTAGTATCTGGTATCGCAAGCTCCGACGTTCATACAGTTTGGCCCGAACCCTATGAAGCATACTCCAATGAACTTCCACAAAGTGGAAGTGAATCCTTAAATCGACAGAGAATCTCTAAAACTTTAAGAAATATATCTGGCGCGCAAGTCCGCTCTTGGCTTCCATTGCATTACACAAGTGATGCCTTTATTTCATTGCTTGTCGTCAGGATTGAAAATTGAAGTTTGTAAAGAACCGATAGATGTTTGTGAAACTCAAGTTAATTTTGTAATCAGGGTTAAGTGTTCAACAGGAGAAAAATGCTAACTTTAAGAAACGACTGTTTCATAAACCTTTTGGTTAATGTATAATGTTGCAAATATATAAAATGTCAATTCAAGAGAATACCGAATCTGGATTATCCGCTGAAACAGATTCCCCTTGGCGTTTTGGTTGATAGGAAAACATTCAGGACTAAACCAACCTTAAATAAGGACTACTTTATTGTCTAATGCCGTTTGTTGCAACCATTAGGACACCGAGCCGAAACACTGTGACCAATGTCCAATGCCCAATGCAAACTATCATTGCGTGGGGACATACAATGAGTAGAAAACAATGTTTTGCCTAATTAAGTCTCACCCCGGAATTACTTCAAGTCAAACATAACAGATACCCAGAATTACTTCAAGTCAAACATAACAGATACCCAGAATTACTTCAAGTCAAACATAACAGATACCCAGAATTACTTCAAGTCAAACATAACAGATACCCAGAATTACTTCACGTCAAACATAACAGATACCCGGGATAACTTCAAGTCAAACATAAGAGATAACTGGAATTACTTCAAGTCAAACATAACAGATACCCGAAATTACTTCAAGTCAACATAACGGATACCTTGAATTACTTCAAGTCAAACATAACAGATACCTGGGATTATTTCAAGTCAAACATAACAGATACCCGGGATTACTTCAAGTCAAAGATAAGAGATAACTGGAATTACTTCAAGTCAACATAACAGATACCCAGAATTACTTCAAGTCAACATAACAGATACCCAGAATCGCTTCAAGTCAAGCATAACAGATACCCGGAATTCCTTAAATAAGGACTACTTTATTGTCTATTGCCATTTGTTGCAACCATTAGGACATTGAGCCGAAGGACTGTGACCAATATACTTCTCCTTTGAAGAATGATTGATGTGCATAACAAATACGTTACAGAAACTGAAATTACGTAGGTATATTCTTTGGAAGAACAATCTCTCTTTACTGTTATCGCCGTGTATGTACAGATGCCACCTTCGTTACTTGACCTTTGGTAAAATATGTGTCATTCTTTAATCATTGCTTTTCTTCTGCATTTAATGTGACATCGTCTGACTTCAGCAGAGTGAGTGAGTTGGGTTTAACGCCGATTTTAACAGTATTCCAGTTATATCGGCTTGTCAGCTTGATGTTGGGGGAAAGCCCGAAGTGATGCAGGTCTCAGACGTTTACCACTTCGGTGAAACCCACGAGCACGGGTATGGTGCTGACGAAACCTAGAAACATAATCGGGGCGAACCGGGATTCGAACCAACAATCATAGGTTTCTGGCATGCACAAGGGACACAACTCTGCACAGCGAATCGCGGCGCCTTAGACGACTGGGCCACCCGTGCGCCCGACTTCATTAGAAGTCGATCTGAATAAATAGAAGTTATGAAGCTTATGTCGTCCATGTTAGTCGGACACTATGGACAGCATTGTACCCGAATTTGAGGTGCATAGCATGACTACATGAAGTGGCATCTGTTTCTTGTCAAACACACATTATTGGTACACGGCTCACTGATAACGTCAAGCCACTAACCGACGTTTTACACAAGTACTGTGGCCACACATTGTGTTGCACGTACCAAACTGATAAGGCTGAGAGAAGTTCGTATAAAGTATACTGAACCAAATTAAAAATTTCACAATCCTTAAATTTTAACATTTTGACCAGTTATCATTGTGGGCACTTATTGTGTATTTAAACATTAATGGCCACGTATTGTCTTCGGATAACACCCGTTTTTGTGCAGGTGAATCGATCAAAATCATGTGCACCGCACTATAGTGGAAAAAGTGTTTTTTCACGTGCAACTGGTCACGTGGCCATAATACCGCACGTATTTTCAGCCATACTTGTTAGCAGTCATTAACAAAAAAAGAAAAACACAAGAAAACAAAAGTCTTTACGGCCATTTGTCATGCCACGCCTTTCAAATGTGCAATGTGAACGTGCCATCGGCATGTTGCAGACGGGAACGTCCGTAGCTGAAGTCGCAAGGACGATGTGTTGTAGTCGACGGACTGTTTATGATTTACAGACGCGTTTACAGCAAACGAGTACCGCCACTGATCGCCCTCGGCCAGGTCGACCACGTGTGACGTCACATGCAGAGGATCGTCAGATTGTCTAACGTCACCTCCGTAACCGATTTTTGACGGCTACATCAACCAGAAATGAACTGTTAGGGGAAGACTGAGTGCGCAAACTGTCGAAACCGTCTGAGAACTGCTCACCTTCAAGCACGACGGCCATACTGCGGGCCGATTCTGACTCAGTTACACAGACGTCAACGTCAATTGTGGACACAGCGACATTTACGGTGGACTCAGAGGAATTGGAATCAAGTCGTCTTCAGTGATGATTCCCGATATAATCTTCGATTTGCTGATGGTAGGGCGAGGGTGTGGAGGTGCCGTCATGAACATTTCGCCCATTGTTGTGTACAGGAAATTGACAGATTTCGAGGCGGAAGTGTCATGGTGTGGGGTGCTTTCTGTGGCAATGCAAGTTCCAGGCTTCTTGTCATCCGTGGCAACCTCAGCGCTGCTGCTAACTTCTGCCTTTTATGGCAGCACATGGACCCGGTTTGATATTCCAACACGACAATGCCAGACCCCACACAGCAATTTTGACAAGGAATTTCCTTCAGAATGCGGGAGTCAACGTCATGGACTGGCCGTCAAGGTCTCCCGACCTCAATCCATCGAATACATCTGGGATGCTCTTGGCAGAAGTCTGCGCACTCTCCAGAACCATCCACAGAATTTGCAAGATCTTGGCACCATTTTGCAGCAACAATGGCGTCGTCTTCCCAATCATGTGTTCACAAGCATCACAAGGTCCATGCGGAGGCGTTGTGTAGCAGTTGTCAACGCACATGGTGGCCATACACGCTACTGAACTTGTGTGCCATCAGATTCTCGTGCTTGGGACTTATGATTTAAACTGTTGATGTTATTACCGAATACCATAGGTTCTTGGAACAAATTATGGTTACCACCGTTAATTAAAATCCTTCTTTGGACATTAATGATTAAAAATTACCTTCTCTGATACATTTGCCCGTTGTATATAATATATGGGATTACTTTTAAAAATGTGAAGTTTTTAATTTGACTCAGTATATTTGTTTAGCTCGATATTGGACATATTGGGGTCCACCCTCCTTCGTGATACGTGGGATTCTTAACATTCAACCCTGCAATTATCAGAACGCCATTTTGTTCTGGCGCTCTGTTGTTTATAATTGGAAAACATGTGCCGCCATTCAGGGATTCTGGGATTGAATATTCTTTCGGTTACTGCTTGAAAACACGCACCTGTTCTTGTGAAAGAATATGTATCGTTTGTTGTTTAACGCCGCACTCAGCACTATTCCAACTGTATGACGGTGATCTGTAAATAATCGAGTCTGGACCAGACAACCCAGTGATTAGCATCATCAGCATCGATCTACGCAATTGGGATGCGATGACATGCGTCAACCATATCAGCGTACCTGACCACCTGATCCCGTTCGTCGCCTCTTCATCGAACGCAAACACTGCTTTCTCTGGTGGGTATTTCTCGTATGTCACCGGGGATATGGGTGGTCCAGTCCACATTCCCTTTGGGGAGTTCGAAATCCATGTTCGTCCCGATTATGTTTCTAGGTTTGTCAGCACCATACCCGTGCTCGTGGGTTTCACCGAAGTGGTAAACGTCTGAGACATGCATCACTTCGGGCTTTCCTCCCACACCAAGCCGACACGACGTGATATAACAGGAATTCTGTTCAGAGCGGCCTCAAACCAATTCACGAACTCGTGAGTAACCTTCATTTAGTCTAGCTGTATGGCTATATAATCCCACTGTTTTCAAGACCATCGATGATCTTTTTCTTGAACCTACCCAAAAGATCAGCCTGTTCCATTCCAGGTAAATGTTCAAATGGGACGAGGTGAGGTGAGGTGAGGTGAGGTGAGGTGAGGTGAGGTGAGGTGAGGTGAGGTGAGGTGGAGTTAATAATCGCGTTCAGGATTTTTGCACTTATATGGCTACGTGCATGCACACCTGCTCAATGTGTTTATATCAACAAAAACATCGTTGCTAAGCAGCATATAGACAAAAAGCTATGTGCCTCCATCAGTTTGAATGTTCACCTCACGCAACGGAATCATATCGTCCCTTTGTGGGCTACTCAGGGCCGCGCAGTAACTCATTGATAGCCTTGCTCCAAGTCTGTATTGAAAGAAAAGTCCATGGATGTGTAGTAATTCTACCCTCCTAATAGGCAAGTCTAGATATGTGGACAGTACAGGGACAACTTGTTCTTATTATTTACATAATCTAGAAATTATGATTTTAACTAATACTTATTGCCTTAGAGACTTGTGCAAGTCTAACTCATGGTCGACACGTGCCGTTACACTGGCCTGTACAAACTACAGGTTACACAAAAGGCTACAGTTATAACATGATGAACGAGATATACAGTGTACACATGCCACACGTGGTCACATTCATTGTCTGATGATTGACAAACACCCCTGTCACAATCTTGGGCTGATAAGATATCCAGGCTATTTTTGGCTGTTCTCAATGTACACTTTGTGAACCCCATTTATTGAAGTAAACATGACTCTTGAACCAGTTGTCAGGAATACATTGTTATCCAAGTCAGACAATTAATGGGTTTACCAATGGCTGTGATTCAATTTGTTAAGCAAAATACCACCTCAGCAGTTTTAAAAAATCAACTTTTTTATGTATATTTTTTCTTTCTCATATCCATCTACACTCATGACTTTTTTCACAATTATGTGTTCAAAACTGTTTATTGGACACTTCTGACTGACAATGACCCAAGTGTTCCTGTGGTCTAAATGTTCCCCTGACTGACACAGTGACCCAAATGTTCTAAATGTTCCCGACTGACTGACTGACACAGTGACCCAAGTGTTCCTGTGGGCTAAATGTTCCCCTGACTGACAGTGACCAAAGTGTTCCTGTGGTCTAAATGTTCAAGAGACTGACACAATGACCCAAGTGTTCCTGTGGGCTAAATGTTCCCCTGACTGACAGTGACCAAAGTGTTCCTGTGGTCTAAATGTTAAAGAGACTGACACAGTGACCCAAGTGTTCTAGATGTTCCCCTGACAGACAGTGACCCAAGTGTTCCTATGGTCTAAATATTCATGTGCGACAGAAAGAGAAGTCCTGAAAATGTGACCAAAACTCCTCTCTGCACATCAACACAGTAGAAGCACTGGTCCAATCTGGATGGCTTGTTAGCAGTCAGCAATATTCCCAGCCTATCACAGCGAGCACTGGTCCAATCTGGATGGCTTGTTAGCAGTCAGCAATATTCCCAGCCTATCACAGCGAGCACTGGTCCAATCTGGATGGCTTGTTGGCAGTCAGCAACATTCCCAGCCTATGACAGCAGGCACTGGTCCAATCTGGATGGCTTGTTAGCAGTCAGCAATATTCCCAGCCTATCACAGCGAGCACTGGTCCAATCTGGATGGCTTGTTAGCAGTCAGCAATATTCCCAGCCTATCACAGCGGGCTGTACAGAGTGTCATCCACATTCAACAGCGAGTCATTCAACAATGGAGCAACACAAACACAAGGCTCTTTATCAGTAATTTATTCACATTTCATCTTTCGTCTCTCACACCCAGCCATGACTGCCGTGTGGCAGCAGTGGCGGCAAGAACTACTCGCAATAAATTATTCGCTTTTGGTTCATAGTCAGCAATGAGTAAAAGGTTATGTACACTTGATGCTGTACACAAACTGGGAAATGTACAATGGAGTGGTTATACAGATGTTATAACATCAGTGGTGAATAACTGTCATAAGATCCACAGTAAATAACAGTTACATCAATGATCTATAAGTGAATAACATATCTTTGATGAAAAACAGTTACAACACCAGTGGTGAATAACTGTTATAACATCAGTGGTGAATAACAGTTATAACATCAGTGATGAATAACAGTTATAACATCAATGGTGAATAACTGTAATAACGCAGTGGTGGCTGACAGTTATAACATGGTGTTGTATAACTGTAATAACAATAGTGGTGAATAACAGTTATAACAGTTATAACTGTTGAAAACTGTCGTAACACCAGTGGTGGGCAACAGTCATAACAGTGTTGAGTAACTGTGATAACATCAGTGGTTGATAGCAGTTATAACATCATAGGTGGTGAATAACAGTTATAACATCAGTGGTTGTGAACTTCACAAATGTACATAGTGGTGAGAAATGTAGGGGACAAGGAGTGGTCTCCCCTCTAGCCAAGGACACATCGTGAACTACTTCGGCCCTATTACTTCACACACTGTCAATAAATTCTCCTACCAAATTCCAAAGTTATCTTTTGAAAATGAAGTGATTATAACACAATACATGTGTTCATGAAGTACAATATTGTAGATCTAAAGCCACATATTCATATCCAATTGTGACAGCAAGATGAGATATTAAAGAAAGCTGTCTCTAACATAATGATACTCCTGATCAGTTTTCAAATAAATGAACACAAATAACTCGATTTCCATAGATCATTAATTTCTAGAGAGTCTGAATTCATTTGTACTTCTAGGCCTGTGTGCATATGCACTAATACTGTACTGTCTGTACATGATGCGTACACTGGCTAGAGATGAGCACGCCCCTCAGACAAGCTGGGGGGGGGGGGGGGAGTCTGTGATACATCACCACAGTCATCGGTGATGCACCTCCAGTCTAATACTGCCACGACATTCTCAGGGGGGATGCTACACTGAGACAGCAGACTCATCAAATAAATGTCTTAATTCCAGAACTGAATACCGTAGGTTATTTCACTTGACCTCAAAGAATTAAATACATTTATTTTGTATCTTTTTCAACTTTTTAAATCTCTTCCTGTGGATGAGGCTACTAATGATATGGCTGAGTGAGTACTGATTTACCTAACGACAGGTGCATTGCAATACTCTGAAGTCATGTATCGATACTAAACAATACAGGTATACATTGGGTGCATTGTAAAATTATTTGAAATGTAATTGTAAACTATTATTCTTGCTGATACATAGTGGTCAGTTTTTCATTAATTAACTCAAATCTATTATATACTTCGGATGGTCTTTAATTTGTCCCCTTGACAAAGGAATCTCTATCAGCAAGAGTTGAGTTTTAAAGTATCATTTCGTGTATGACAAAATCATCTTACTATCAAGATTCTTCAATAAATGATGATCAATCTGACATCTCAGTGTTGTCAACCCTGAATATCCTCAGTGACTACAGAACAACGTCGTGAGTAACAACAATCTCAGATGATGAGGTACAACGGGATATTGCACAGACTGGAACGAGTCTTGAGCAAGTAGCATCTCAAGTCTCAGCGTTACTGTAACACAAGCTACTAGCTCCGCAGTTAATGGAATGCCTGGTTATGTGTCAACTAATCTACCGTCATGCAGAGGAAAGAGCAGCAGCCCCGTCTTGCATCAGTCACGTGAAGAATAAAAAATAAAAATATTTTTGTGAACGATCATATTAAGTTGGGAAATATTTTAAAATTCTTTATTTCATATCAAGATCAATATTATCAGGTTAAGTACCTCCGACCATTTTCAGTGTCACGAGATACCATATCTTCCAGGAATTCATTGTATTTTATAGTACCAATCAATCAGCTATAATAATAAATCGGTTATCAGCCAGAAAACTATTTCTCAAATGGTTTAGGTGGAGGATTTGTCGTACAAAAACACAGCACTACAAAGTATATCTAAATAAATTGTCTGTTTTGCAAATGCAATACTACTCAGGTAAACCCAAGTGGAATCACTGTGTATGTAGGCCCTAATAATGATTAGTACTTAACAGTGCAACAGCAAACTGATTCTTACTGGAGCTGAGGTGCAGGTATTACCCCGGTACACTAAGTTTTACTGGGGCTGCTGTCCAGGTTTTATAAACACTACGTTTTACTGGGGCGGCTGTGCAGGTTTTACACTATGTTTTACTGTGGCTGCTGTCCAGGTTTTATAAACACTATGTTTTACTGGGGCGGCTGTGCAGGTTTTACACTATGTTTTACTGGGGCGGCTGTGCAGGTTTTACACTATGTTTTACTGGGGCGGCTGTGCAGGTTTTACACTATGTTTTACTGGGGCGGCTGTGCAGGTTTTACACTATGTTTTACTGTGGCTGCTGTCCAGGTTTTATAAACACTATGTTTTACTGGGGCTGAGGTGCAGGTTTTACACTCTGTTTTACTGGGGTGGCTGTGCAGGTTTTACACTATGTTTTACTGGGGTGGCTGTGCAGGTTTTACACTATGTTTTACTGGGGCTGAGGTGCAGGTTTTACACTATGTTTTACTGGGGCTGAGGTGCAGGTTTTACACTATGTTTTACTGGGGCGGCTGTGCAGGTTTTACACTATGTTTTACTGGGGCTGAGGTGCAGGTTTTACACTATGTTTTACTGGGGCGGCTGTCCAGGTTTTACACTATGTTTTACTGGGGCGGCTATGCAGGTTTTACATATTTACTGGGGCTGAGGTGCAGGTTTTACACTATGTTTTACTGGGGCTGCTGTGGGGTTTACGGAGCAACTAAACGTGTCAGGCATGCAATACCTAGCTTCAATAATATCAGATAAAATCACAAAAGAAAATACATGACAGTATGAATCACCCCAGCATAAGGCTGGTGATGGTGAATAACCAAAAAAATATTAGCACCAGTTTAAAACAAAAATGCATTCTTAAACCAATGAACCTTGGTCAACTAAAAAGGCTCCATACTTTTGCATGCCTTCTTTCCTAGTCCCTTGCCACGAGAGCTTCATCTAAAGACAGAGGTACAGAAACTGAAGACACAGTATGGCAGTGATACAAGAATTATACAAAATATACACCGTATTCAAGCTAACTAGCACAGAACCTCACAAAAATGCCCACACACATACACTGGCATGTTCATGAATTTATTGAGTCGTAAGAATGTAGTAAATCTTAACTTTTACATTCACTTTTTTGATTGCAAAATAAATGAATACGGATTATTCACAATGAATCACAGATTACAAGTTCACAAAGTCACTGTTCACATTTATCCGTTCGGCCATCTTTCGTGACTGTTCACTTTTATCCGTCCAGCCAGTCTGGTGTCAGACTAGAGTTCTCTCCCTTGAACACTTTTGTCCATCTAGCACCAGTCTTAAGAGACTGAATCAGTCATAAAATCCCCAGTCCAAGCCGTGGCCTGAACATGAGAATATGGTTAAATATAGCACTAAAAGATTCCATCAGGAACACCATCAGCCATTAACAGTAGGACTGCACTCCCGGTGCAGGCTTGTCAGCGATGTCAGATTGTCACTCAGAGCAATAGCACTATATGTACTTTGACTATTTACCACAAAGCTATATCATAGCTTCGAGAACAGATCGCGAGTCTTCAATGGATTTCTACTAATATATGAAAGACCCAATCAGGTATCTTGCATTCCAAATGCACTGTTTATGTATGATGAATATCATATTAAGTCTTGTGCCATTTATACATAGGTAATCCCACAACGAAATTCCATAAAAAGCTTCATACTGCACGTCCCTCTAATGAGTCAATCTCGGACAAGCCACTGCTTGGAGATCGTAGGCTACGTTCACAAGCAACACCAATATCACAAACTTGCACAACTAACACGAACTGCTCTTGAATCCTCCGAGATCGGCAGCTGTGATTTTTGCCCTGGGGGGCCCCGAGATTCCGTTTCGACTCTGTGTGGTGTTGTAGCGTTCCTTGAGGTCGTTCAACGCCTGCAGGAGTTTTGAGTTGGCGCTGTCCAGCGTGTGGATCCGCCGCTCCTGTGCGTCAATCACTTCCTGTTTCTTGGTAACTATCTTCTGCATCTGCTGCTGCTCGTGTTTTAACTCCTCCTCAATGGAGACCAGTCTGTGAAAACAAGTTTCGAAATAATCAACAACATGATCGAACAAACCATTACATCCCTCAAACAGGGTCTCAGGTCATCAATTGCCACATGCTCATTCAACCATAATACTGGATTTACTGCTCCAATTGATTACCACGTGACACAGGACACGCTAAAGGACAAAATGGCTACTGTCAAATTTATCTTCGAGAACATCATAGTGACATCTTTGGTGTATGTTACTATCCTCCAACTACCAGCTGCTTACTGATAGAGATTGGGAGTCAGTCGGTGTACAGACAGGCTACGATGTCTAAAAGATGGAGGCCTTTTGTAAGGATAGCGCGTCCTGCGTCACGTGATTAGCAACACTTAACTTGCGGGATACCTATCAGACTGCAATGTAGTCAAGAAACAGTCAATAAAGATACTTTTCCTTTAATAGGATAGGTATGTACTCTTTCTTTGTAACACAGGACTCCCTTACATTTATTAAATCATATTTGCAGCACAGATGAGGAAGTGTGTATGACTGAGGCTGAAGCAACGTAACTGGTTGCCAAGCAACGATGTGTTGACTCCACAGTGTATGCAGGCAAACTATCTATAAGTGACTGTGGACTACCAAGGTGGCTCAAGGTTTTGTTTGGACTTTGACGTTGATGTATTTGCTACGTGTCTAACATAACCTACTCCAAAATATGTGTTGGTAAATTGTTGGTGATTTCATGCTTCCCTGATCTTATCAATAACAAAGCGCATTGACACCTAGGCTACTTCAAAAACATCTAGATTTATTCCAAAGTGTATAGTTACATTTGAGACTTGCTGCTAATGATGGCTTGTCTCTGCCCATGTTTCTCCTGTGAAGAACCTACTCTACAAAAAATATCTAGAATTATCCCCAAGTTTGCAAACCTGCCGACTCAAACCTGTGCTCTGGGGCACCCACTTCTCCGCAGTGATGATACCAAGTTCAATGCCGTTCTTAACAGTATTTCAGTTATCTCACGGTATCAGCACGTGGAGGAGGCAAATCAAAAGTGGCACAGGTTGAGCAGGGATAGATAAACATGACCACTAGTCCGTTGGTCTGAGACAAGTTTTCTAAAGCAAACCAAGATGGCCGACATAAAGTCATTCCCCAAGCATAGAGGGCAGTTTCGTATCCACATATTAACACATATTTCTTTCTTAAATCTGTCTGAAAGATTCAGTGAGGAGCTTCATTTTCCTGTCTGAGGCAGACACAGTGCTCACATGGGGACGTTTGCAGGTTCACTTTTCAAATAACTATGGATACGATTCAAAGTTCATACTGGCTGCATCTGTCACAGCAACCCCTACTCTATATAGTAACCTGTAGAATTTTGTAGAATTTTCCTATTCGGAATATTCTATAAGTAATACGTTACCACTGTTATACCGAGGCTGTTGTCACAAACGAGCATTTTCACAAGAAAAAAAAGGAGCAATGTGAACATATAACATACACATATAACTTTTATTAAAGAAATAAGTTATGTTAACCCCCAAAACATACAAGAACAGGGGAAACGTAAAACACAACGTGCATACGCGAACCCCGCAAGTATATAGAAAACAGGGCGGGAAAAATTTTCCGTTTAGCGGGAAAATTATAACCAAGCGTAGCTACCGCAACGCCCCATAAAAGCACAGTTTATTAGAGAATAAACTATAATAAATATCACCAAATCTTCAAGGAACGCTTCAGCAGGAGAAAACATGTCTTGCTAAGCAGACGAAGGAGACAAGAGTGAAGGGTGTCACATGGCAGCTAGGTGGCTACGCACGTGCTGCATGAGGTAATTGAGATCTCTGTGGTAGATTTCGCTATAGCAGCAGTTGTGGGAGACAACAGCCTCGGTAACAGTGGTAACGTATTACGTATGTAATATAAGTGTGTACTTGCATTTCACACCTGTTTATAATGGCCTGCATCTGTCCGTCCTTCTCCTCTTGCTGTTTCTTCATCCTCTCCTCGCTCATCTCAAGTCGGTGCTGCCACTCGTGGATGAGGTCGCGGGTGCCCGCCTCGTGGTCATGCAGTCGACCCTCGGCCTCGCGCAGCTGCACTTGGGCCTCTTGCAGCTGTGTGCGAAGAACTGCTACATCACTCTCAAACTGTGCACAGAAAACGGAGGACTGTTAATTTGATTCAAGATATACAATGTTTCCATCCCACAGACTCCAGTGTCTCAGAGAGTATTTCTAACCTGAAATATTGCTGTGAAGCGTTACATAGACTGACTCTTATTACCACAAGTCTCCATTTCAAACAATGGCTGTAATAATTGCATATAGAACAAGAAAAAGGACAGAGAGTAACTTCATTTTACACTCTATCACCTTTATCAAGAAATGTTGTAGCCATATCAACAACATACATAGATTTAAAAGAAAGCTGTACAATTACCCTGAATTACTGGGTTTCATTCCTCAAAGCCATCTTAGCGCTAAGATAGTCATTAGTCTATGCTAAAGTACAAACACTGCTTTGTGGAACAGGGATCTGTTCTGTTAATGAATATTTTTTGTCAAGATTTATTGATGTTAAGTTTATGAGTAGGAATCTCATTTAAAAAAACAACAATGATAATAGTTTTCAATAATAATATTAACTTTCAATAATAAGAGGAAGGATTTTCAATAATAATAACTTTCAATTATAATAATAATAATTTTCAAAAATAATAATTTTCAATAATAATAATAATTTTCAATAATAATTATAATAACAATAACTTTCAATAATAATAACTTTCAACCACATATCCCCAGTGCCAGAATGTGCGTACCTCTTGTTTGGTGCGTTCCTGTTCTTGTAGCTTCCTCTGGACAGAGCTGATGCCCATGTGCACGGCACTCTGGGGCGACAGGCGCCGACTACTCCAAGACAGGGTATCGTCTCGAGAAAAATTGTGCCCTAGTGATCCGGAGCTACACGAGTGAGCTGGGGAACTGTTCTGAGATATCACAGAGTCTGTTGCTGTGCGGCGCAGCTGGTCACTGTACTGCTGCTGTTGCAGGCAGCCAAAGTCCATGCTGTGTGACAGCTGATATGGTCGAACAGTCTGTCGGTCTTGAGGCATAGTGTCATAGTACGAACACGACCTCTCCGGCCGAGGACTGCTGGTCGCTTGCAAGGGACTAGAGCTTCGAGGGCCGAGAGAGAACGATATAGGGTTATTGCTTGAACTCGATTGAGATCCGTTCGTTAGCGGCTTGTCGCTTAACGATTCATTACTGGTTGAACTAGAAAGTTGTGAGAGTTTGCGTAATGGGTCGTTAGACCGTGAACGTCTTTCCAGTTTGACTGGACTTCTGTGCTTCACCGTGCTTGCCTCGTCATCACTACTGTAGGAGTCAGAGCTCGAAACATGACGAAGCGACGGCGGGGTTGATCCGCGACTAGACTTCTGTTGGTGTTTGTACAGAGGGTTGGAGAAGGACAACGGTTGCATTGGGTAATGGATGACGGGCGATTTTGTAATCTCCCGACAATATTCTGGCTGATTGGCCGGGTCCACCGGAGAGTTGGATTGGCTGTAACCGAATGATTGATACCCCGACGAGGCAACCGTTGACATTTGGCTGATGGACATCTGGCTGCCATGGGTAATCGGTTCCAGCTCCATCGACGAGTTCTGCTGATCCTCATCCATGAAGGGAATTAAGTCTATATATTCATTGTTAGCAGAAACATTCTCAGCTGCGTTCACAATCTGATTCCAAGATTCGTTAACTTTCTGTTCGTTGATTTCACTCTGTGGTCTCACAGACACATTTGCAACTGCACTCCGGTACGAACGAGAGTAGGAGTAAGTATTGTAATGTGTATAACTCCCATTACTTCTAGGAACTCCTTCACTGCTGCTAGTGGAGTCAGTGCCGCCATTTTGAGCTGCCTTACGACTGGCAAAGATGGGCAGATCATCGGCACTTTCCCCACACTGTCGGAGCATGTCGCGGAGCACCTCGGTCGGGGAGGTGTTGATCTGACTGCTGGGCGTGCTCATCATGTTGTCGTACGCCTGACTCTTACGATTGTTCTCGGGCTTGGTTTTGCCGACTTCGGGATTCTCCAGGGCATCAGTAATGGCAACCAGGAATCCCTCCAGACGCTTCAACTTCAACCTCGTAGCCTGGAGAGTAAAAACATGGAGTTAACCTACTGAATTGGAGGCAAGGTAAATGGTTTGTTTCTAACTCTATGACAATTTATGAAAAGTTGTGCACCATTCTCATGGAGTACTTGCAGTGCAGAATAGCTTGATCAAATTTGTGTTGTTACGTAGTACTGTTAAGGTGCAGGTCAAGTTGATTGGATTCAATGTTACCAATTGAAACTTTAGCTTAGGACAGTTTGATCATTTCAAACAATTTTTTGTTTCTTCTATTCTATTCTTTTATTATTTCCCTGTTACCTTACAAAATGTGCCATCTTTAGTGATACAAGTTTCAAAAGCAGAAGAACAAACCCATAAAAATATCCAGTAACCCTCATCATTTACCGTAAGAAAGTATTCTTGAATTGCTACCTTATAAGATTCAACTCACCTCCGGCGCCTTATCAAGATACTCCTTGAGTAAAGTATAAATAATAGAGAGCTCCTTGCCAAGGTCGATGAAGCCGTCATACTCCAAGAACTGGTTGCCTCCGTCCAGACTCTGGAGAAATAGCAAGTGATACTTGAATGGCTGATATGAATGTTATACAATACCTTGTACCCCTCAGATTAGGGGTGAAATAAACAGTCTCGGCGAGGCAATAAGGATTTGTTTTTATGGTGCCATAAATATCTAAACTGGTCCAGAGAGTGTTACATTTTCACAAAGTCTACAACCTAAACATTGCAGGCTATTAACTTGTAGCAATACATGTAGTGGGTACGCCTCTATGTTAACATCATCCTCATCATCATCAACTTCATCGTCATCAACATTCAACTCCATCCCCAACAACATCATCATCATCATCATCCATCAACAGTTAACTTCATCATCACCATCCCTAATCAACATCTTCATCAATCAACCTCATTGCTATCAAACAGTGATATGACAACTTACTGATATCTTCTTGAGGAAGTTCTTCATATTGGTCGCCTCCCTCTCCACAAAACTGTTCATGAACGTCATAAACTCCTCCTTCCCTCCGAATCTGCAACAAACATTGCCCGTTAGCTAGATGGACCAGGCTTCCATAAACAACACATAGAGACCTGCACACTGTCAAAAACTACTCGTACATATTCATTATGTTAAGTTCATGCTATTAGGCATGTCAGGTGAGAAGTAAAGAAGTGAAAGACATTTCAGATTTGTAAAAAATAATCAAAAAGAATATGTGCATTGTTTGCTGAGCTTGTCGACGTACTGTCCTTGTGACAATCTAACCTACTGTCCACACAAAGTTTTTGTTGTGATAGCCTATATTTGGTAAGAAAACAACATTCTTTTCAAAACAAAAATTTCAATCTATTCTATTCTGGGGAATCTGTTGACCACCTCAAATAAGAAGCCTGTGCAATATGATAATGAGTGAGTTCTGCTTACTTGGTGAAGTTGGCAAGAGTCTGGATGGTCTTAGCGATGAGGGTGAGGTTCCGGGCGGCCCGCTCCTGAGGATATTCTGAAACAACATTCAAATATTGAAATTGAACTGAAATGTGTAAATCTGAAATAGCCTTGCATCCCGATCAAGTATTCCTCCCCCCACAAGTCAATGCAAGGCAGGCAACTGTGAGGACGATACTCAGTAACTTGGGCCCCCGAATGCGGAGGACTGGAATGTGGAACAGGTGCTTGTTGGATGATCCTGCAGAAGGTCTTGTGAATACGTGGGTGCAGGACTCACATCAGAATACTCAATTTCATTTGCTTATTATTTCCCAATAACATATTTAACATGTTACTTAAACCTTATAGTCAATCTTAATTAAAAACATACATGACATATTTGGATGGCTCATATTTTCTGAATTTAGCCCTATTTTTCTTTGCACTTTCTAATATGCATCCAAAATATCTCTTCATTGCTTTAGATAAGCCTGCTTTGGGAATTTGTCAGAATCTGCAGCTGAATCCCTCACAATGATGTGTGAGTGAGTTGGGTTTAACACCACACAACAGTATTCCAGTTATATCACGGCGTACCAGCTTAATGTGGGAGGAAAGCCCGAAGTGATGCAGATCTCAGACGTTTACCACTTCGGTGAAACCCACGAGCATGGGTATGGTGCTGACAAACCTAGAAACAAGCCGGGGCAAGCCGGGTTTCAAACCCACGATCATAGGTTTCTGAGTGCCCAAAGGATGCAACTCTGCACAGCGATTTGCAATGGCTGGGCCAACCCTTATGATGATGGAGTATATGCTGACCTTGTGTGAGTTTGAAGAGACTGGGAGACAAGATGGCTGGACAGAGGAAGCGCAGGAAGATGGAAGCACTGATGAGGTTGTCGCTGAAGTCTTCCTTCCCTCGCTGACGACAGCGATCGCGGAAACTCGCAAATACCTCCTTCAGTTCACTGTAAGACAACAGGGTAAGATTCAGTCATGAGCTCAGTGGGACAAACTCCCATACAACAACACAGTGAAAAATAAGTGTAAGGAAGAGTGATGCAGCTAGAGTGTCAGAGCGTCAGATGCCACTGAGAGTGTCAGATGGGTGTGGTTCCACCCATGGGGGAGGTGTGTCAGATGCCACTGAGAGTGTCAGATGGGTGTGGTTCCACCCATGGGGGAGGTGTGTCAGATGGGTGTGGTTCCACCCATGGGGGAGGTATCACATGTGTGCAGTCCCACGTCTATGTGTAATGTAATGGGTATTATTTGAGATCCACTAAATGAGTGGGAGGGGTGGGTGTGTCTGCCCTAACAGAGAGGTGCGTTGGGTGAGTGGGGTCCCAAACAGACAGTATCAGATGTGCGGGGTCCTCCCAATATACAGCTTTAGATGTGTGTGTGGCATTGACATGGGTTGGGTATGCTTCGGGAAAGTGTGTGGGGTGTCCCCAAGCTTCAGGTGAGTGTAGTCCCCTCCAAGCTTCAGGTGAGTGTGGTCCCCCCCCCCCCCCCCCCCCCCCCAATAGCTTCGGGTAAGTGTGGTCCCCCACAAGCTTTAAGTGAGTGTGGTCCCCCACACCCCCACCCCCCCCCAAGCTTCAGGTAAGTGTGGTCCCCCAAGCTTCAGGTGTATGTTGGGTGCCCCCAAGCTTTAGGTGAGTGGTCCCCCCTGCATCAGGTGAGTGGTCCCCCCCTGCATCAGGTGAGTGTGGTCCCCCCTGCATCAGGTGAGTGTGTACCTGGGGAAGTAGCAGTAGGAGTTGATGATCTTCACCCAGGCCATCTGGCTGTACATGTCCAGGTTCTTCTGGTGACACTGCAGCTGCGCGTTGTTCGGCACCTTGGTTGGGTCCACCTCACAGTCGTCCAGGGACTCGATGATCGACTTCACAAACTCTCCCAGAGTGTCTTGTAGGTACTGGCAACAAATCAGGCAGTGTTAATATTCATAAAAAAAAATAATAATTGCTAAATAGATCTTTTAATTATTAATTTATCCATTGTCACTTGATGAAATGTATTGCATATCCATTACTTCTCCACCATAAGAGTTTCAACAGATTTAAGTATCAAGCAATATTTTTTCATCAAATGTACAGAGATCTTGTAAAACACACATTCCTTGTAATTATCTCCCCTTGACCAGGCATGCTGCCAAGTTCATTGGTAGACCACGCTTGTCATTTCCAACCTGTCCACAGTTCAGTCTGGTGGGTTATGTAAAATTACCAAGTTTTGAGAATAAACAAATAGTCCCTCTCGAACTTAACTTGTCCCAGACTCACGGATTAGTGGCCGTGTCCGTCCATCAAGATCTGACACTCACCTTCTCCCCAACCAGCTTCATGTATGCTTCCATTGCCTTGGTCGCAATACTGTTCCCTCGAAACGTCAGATGTTCATTGTCTGAAGCAGAAGACACACTTATCAACTAACCATTGGTTACGTGCACGACACTACACATGGATGAAAATTACGTGTTTCTCATGTAACTATAGTTATAAATTGTTGAGAACTCATAGACAAATTTGCTCACCGAGTCGCGCTATTTCGGCCATGACAACATCAGACAGAAAGTTTTTGGCTCGATTGAGCTTCTGCATGATATGTACGAGGGTGGTGGCGAGATCTTCCTTCTCCCGAACGTTCATCAGTGGTTCCACTGCCTCACACAGTTGGCAGTAGTCCGTCGTCAGGTACTGTAACATCATAACCATAATCATCATCATCATCATAATAATAATAATAATAATCATCATAATAATAATAAACGCCGAGGCAGCGCTCTGTTGGAGAAGTTCCAATCACTGTCTGGGTTGCATGTAGAGGGGGCAAGGGCCCTGAGCCTAACCTGCCTGACTCTGTCAGGATCACCCAAACCCTCTTTGCTACATTTATTTATTTTAACCTGTAAAAAAAACAGCACTAATAATGCATTTATACAATATGTGACTTCCAACTTGGATAGCAGCTCAGAGGAGCTACACAATATTATTAGCCAGGTCAATGGTTCAGTGTTAACTCAAATTTCATTCTCAGCTCCCTGGGCATCATGCAACCAAGCTGCCTGATATCTTAAGAGTCACATTTGCCATTTCATCCTACCGGGTACCCATCCATTGCTGTGTGAACAGAGGCTCACTTTTAACAGAGTCACTTGCTCAAAGAGACGCCACATGCTTCAGTGGAATATCAAACCCCTGAGTCAAGCTGCCGACTACGGTCACTCATTCACCTGTTCTCCGTGACCAACACAGCTTAGCTTCGCCTGTGTGTGAACTACGCACTGTACCACTGTATGCAGGGCCAGGTGCTCACCTTGACTAGATCCTGGTAAAGCTCTATGGGTAAGATCTGCACTGTCTGGTACCGAGCCTTCAGCCGAAGGATGGGCAAGTCACTCTTGGTTTCCTTGCCTGCCTTCCCGACAGTTCCCGAGGCTGCTGTGAACCTGCATCCAAGAGATCACAGTAGTTACATCATCAGAGTGAACTGTTACAAACTGTTCCACAACTGTAGTGTGTTTCCAATGTACAGCCAAGTTATCTACAGTTCTGAGAGCGACAAATTGAGTTTCACTCTTTTAAAACATTTGTGGCAACTCATGAATCTTGGGACATGTTATTGTGATTTGAAACCTCAGATTGACCAACATAATCGATGTTTTGGTGATTTGTAACCTCTGATTGACCAACATAATCAATGTTACTGTGATTTGAAACCAACATAATAGAGTATTTTCCACCCATGTTTGGATTGTTCTTTACAACTGAGTCAGCAATATCTATATCACTCGGAAAGTCTGCAAGTGGACCAGACAATCCAGTGATTGATATCATGAACAACAATCCATGTCACCAGGGTACGATGTCTCACAATCAACCAAGTCACCAAGCCTGACCACCGGGTCCATGTTGCCACCTCATACAACTAGCTTAAGTTGTGGGGACCTATTCTAACCTGGAATCCCCATGGGTGCTGGTAGGAGAGAGTCAGTAACACGTTAAAGTAGCAGAGCGGCCACTGTGTCTATCTGATCCTCTACATGCCATGTAGTGAATGTTTGCGTAACTGCATAGTCAGCAATATTCCAGCTACAACCTGACTGCAGTAAACCAATCTGGGCCATGCTGGCCACTGTGTCTATCTGATCCTCAACATGCCATGTAGTGAATGTTTGCGTAACTGCATAGTCAGCAATATTCCAGCTACAACCTGACTGCAGTAAACCAATCCGGGCCATGCTGGCCCATTTAGTCTTGTCTTCAAGAACATTCCCATGACATATATGCGCCTGACTACTTGTCTTACCATTTCTCAACAAACTGTCTGTTACTGATTTCTGTCACTGGAATATTAATGTAACCTGCAACAGAAAACACAAATCATAATATTTTGAAATCTTGCAATACATGTTCTCAATCATCAAAATTCCCATCCAAGACTGATCTTTCATATATTTGAGGTGAAATCCATGATAAATACCCAAGACCCACTTTCTACCCAAGCTTCATTTCAATAGTGACATCCTCATCCCCATCCCTGTCCCCAGTAGGTCTGCTCAGACTATGTCTCCTTGATGAGTGCCAGTTAGGTATCCTGTCATTCAAATCAGTGAGTGAGTGAGTATGGTTTCACGCCGCTTTTAGCAATAAAACAGCAATATCACGGTGAGGGACACCAGAAATGGGCTTCACACATTGTACCCATGATGAGGGAACATTGTAACCACTAGGCTACCCAACCACCCCTCATTCGAATCAGCTCAAGCCATAGTGGAGAGTCAAGTTAATTATCATACTAAATCTAATCCCCCTTGATAATCAAGGATGGGAAAAAAAAGACTTAACTTGATCACTCACTGGATGATTGAACACCATTTCCTTCAATGTCTAACAAACAAAAGATTGTTTCATTTTATTTGTTTGCTAGTTTTTGGTTTAAGGCCGCACTCAGCAATATTCCAGCTATATGACAGCGGTCTGTAAATAATCGATTCTGGACCAGACAATCCAGTGATTGACATCATGAGCATCGATCCATGCAATTGGGATACAATGTCATGCATCAACCAAGTCAGTGAGCCTGACTAACCAATCCTGTTAGCTGTCACCAACGACAAGCATAGTCGCCTTTTACAGCAAGCATGGGTTGCTGAAGACCTATTCTACCCCGGATCTTCACATACAGGTCTCATTTTGTTTGAGGCTAAAGGGTGTGAGTGAGTGAGTTGTGTTTAATGCTGCTTTTAACAGTATTTCAGTCATATCGCGGCGTGTCAGCTTAAAGTGGGAGGAAAGCCCTAAGTGATGCAGGTTTTAGACGTGTACCACTTCGATGAAACCCACGAGCACGGGTATGGTGCTGACAAACCTAGAAACATAATTGGGGCGATCCGGGATTCGAACCCACAATCATAGGTTTCTGGCGTGCCCAAGGGACGCAACTCTGCAAAGCGAATCGCGGCGCCTTAGACGTTGAGGCTAAAGGGTGTAAACAAGTGGATGCAATGTTCACAGGTCCTCTGTGGCAGTAATGAAGCACTGGAAACGGAACTTCCACTCTTCAGGCAATAATAAAACCCTAAATACTTTCCATTATTAAGGACTCTGCACTTCAAGACAAACAGGCAGATGTTTCATGTACATGTCCTAAATCGAATTTGCAAATGAAATCATGTTATTCCTAGACAAAACAAACTAAATATTCCAAACAAAGAAGAAATATTGTACCCACATACTCATGACCAGAACTATCCAAAGTTTCTTTTTGCGATGTTTGCAGAGTAGGGACATGATCAGTGAAACATCAAAAACAAAGATGAATATAATTTAACAAACTCTTTCAGCAAACAAATTTTGAACGTGACACCGAAGTTGTACCCTAGCCGCCTAACTTGCCAAACATTTTCGTGAAATAACGGGACATTGTTTGAAGGTGCAAATCGATCAAGTGTTCCCACAAAATTCAACACCAATTAAAAGTTGACACGGAAATGACACTGAGCTTTGCAAGAATGAGAAATACCTTGAACAAAATGATTTGATGATGTGTTAGGACTTGGGGAGGAAGTAGCAGTTTGCTGAGTCAACAGTTGCCAGGGTCTGTTTGTGCCCAGGAAATTACGGACCCCTACTCGCTGTTAATAGCCAAATATTATCAGATCCGGGGAAATCGCGTTGAAAGGTCAGAGAAATTATCGGCTTCAGTACATGGGTGTTATTTATCAAAATTATCAAACTTTCAACTGATTTAAACTCTTCAAGTTAGTTACAATAAAAAGTACATTATCACTGTGGAAAAACTGACAGCTTCATCCAGCTTCTTTACAACCACTTGACATTCCAGAAGGGGGTCAGGTTTTATATAATTCAATTATAATATTTCGACATTCATCCCCACAAGGCCTAATGTCAACATAAGTTGCCTATGCGCTCAGCAAATAGTTGATCAACATATCGGAATCCTGCTCCACATGGTAAGAAACGTTGGTGGGACATTCCACTGAAGCAGGAGTGCAGGTAGGAATGTGGCTGTTGTTCAATAACACTGCGGAGGAATGTGTTGCCAATCTATACCCGACTGTCCGTACCACGCAGCTGAAGAATCACCCTTACGGATTTCAGCTGATGTTTTATTTATCCGTCTTTGGTTGGTTGGTTTGTTGTTTAACGCTGCACTCAGCAATATTCCAGCTTTATGACTTTGGTCTGTAAATAATCGAGTCTGGACCAGACAATCCAGTGATTAATATCATGAGCATCGATCCAAGCAATTGGGATCGATGACATGCATCCACCAAGTCAGCGAGCCTGACCACCCGATCCCATTTGTCGCCTCTTACGACAAGCATAGTCGCCTTTTACGGCAAGCTTGGGTTGCTGAAGACCTATTCTAACCCAGAACTTCAGGTTATCCATCTTTACATGATTCATGTGGACGCATGTGAATCAATTATGGCCTGTAGGCTTATCATCTTCCTATCTCCAAGCAGAGTGACCTGGGCTTATTGTGGCACCTTAGAGAGAGAAGTCACACCTGCCCAGCTCCTACGGAGACAGTCAACCACAAGGAAGCCATGGACTGGAGGCAAGACATCAATATATACACAATGCCAAAAGAAACGCAAACCATGGAAATATATAGAAGTGTGTACGTTAAGAAGAGATGTTTCCACTGTGTACTAATTAATGACAAAACTAACAATCAGACAAGTGTTACTGAGAGTTACTTTCTTATCACGATATGCTGCACGTGATTTCTTAACTTTACACGCTAATCCTGCACGAGACAAATGCTGCGTCTTGAGTCGTGGATCTATGATGTCACATGTGATGAGTTCATGAGCATTGGTTCACACAACATACCAGTATGTTATTTGTGCATCAAACCAATCCAATATCTTTTGAATATGAGTAATTCTTCATATAGTAACCAACGTGTATGGTATTCACATTTCGAGTGGCGGTGAGTATACTTGTGCAGAGCAACAAAACATCAACAGTTTGCTCACCGACTAGAGTATTTTTATCCTTCTTTTTCTTCCGGTCTGCCTCCCGAAACAAGTTGACAGTGATGAACTCCACTGGTGGCAGATTACTACAAAATAAACAAATTGCATGTGATTCCATGGCTTTTGATTGGCTAATGACAGTTGTTTCCTGATTGGCTGATAAGAGAATCGGTGGGGTCTGTGTAGCATCATTGTGCTGAAGTTGGTTTTGTAAACAGTCTGTAAAGTTATTATTTTGGACATATTTACTTATTTAAAATTTGTCAATGAATTTTACATAATATGAGACAATTCTTAAAGCAAAATAATTTGAAAAGCGGGAAAAACAGTAGAAAACATGAAAATTTGGAGGAAACTATGAGCATGAATGTTAGTCAGGTGATTCTGTACTGACCAGCTATATGACGATGGCTTGTAAATAACCGAGTAGGACAGGACAAACCAGTGATCAATATTGTGAGCCACGATCCACGCCATCAGGGTAAGTTTCAAACGCAGGACCTCCTTAACAGTGATTACACTTACTTGAACTCAAAGTGTTCTCCCCAGAAGAGCATGTCATTCTTGGGTTTACTGGACGTCCTGGCATACAGCGTCTTGTCCAGCAGAATCTCACAGAAATACCTGCAAACACAGATACCATGGAAACTAGAACAACAACAAACTGTGAAAAGTCACAAAAGCAAATAACATGAAGTTGACTTACTTCTGTTCAGGCATTGCCTGTATTTAGTTCTGTAGTTAGTTACATGTATTTAGTTAGGGGTCCATGGGGGTCGGGGGTAGGGGTGGGATTGGGGGTCAGGGAAGTGCACACCTAGTAGCTCGTGGCTAGGATTTGATTAGTAGGGGATGGTGATTAGCACCAAGGTTAATGCAAAGATAACTGCCCCAGTTATCTGATAATGTGGGACAGGGCATCCCCACGGAGGTGGTCTTATCCTCACCAACATGTTGAAGTGTACATGATGGCGTATTGCCTACAGTCGCCAGTCACACCCTAGAGTACCACACCCAACACGCCTCCCTGCACCATGTAACCCATTCAGGAACAAGAATTCCAACATAAAAATCATGCTGTTGAATAAAGATATAAGTTTTAAAAAATATTGTTCTACTGCTGCATTTGATCAAATTAACCCCCATGGTTCTTTCCGATAGCAAATGGGTAAATAAATAATAAAATAATGGCGGAAAAGATCTTCAACATGGCATTATTCGCAACAGAGTGCATTAAGTCCAGAACATGTATTACGTTGAATACAAGACCACACTCCAGATGCTCAATCATCCTCCATTATCTGTAATTTAAAATGTTATTTTTCAATAATATTTGACTGCTGCGTCTCTTAATCATTCAGAAAAAAATTCTCATTTCCCACACATGGAGTGACAGTTAAGAATCCCAGCCGTTCCTCCAAGTGTCAGGGACAGCGCTGAGCCGAGAGACCCTCACACTCTCTGACAGTGATTGAAGCCAGCTCACGACTTGTATGTAATTATGTCTGCTTAGTGGTTAGGTAAATAGTACTGAGAGACACTATGGAGGCCACTGAGGGAGATAATTTTCTTCCTTGAGACAATCTTCAATGTAATTCAAGCTGAGAGAAAGTATGGAAGAACAACTCTGATACAATCACACTGCTATTTTCTACACACATCCATGGCATTTAAACATTGATTTAAACGGAAAATTGGGTACGGACATGACAACTCAGAATTAGTGGACACCCCAAAATATACCTCAGTCATTAACGACTTAATGTTAAAAAAAAGAAAAAAGAATGATGACTTTATTTATCCAAATGATATCCATAGGTAGAAGACAAGAATCATATGTGTTCAGAAGGGTCAAGGGTTCTTGTCATTACTTCATAGTTTAAATCTGAGATTTAGCGACCACGAGCTAACCACCCAATATTCATATCAAGGTGTGAAGGCCAAAAATGTCCATCACTGTATCGGCTACACATTTTAGGTAACAACTAAAAAGTATTGTTTCTGGACTTTTGGTTTGGCCTAAAATGATGACAATGTAGTCTTAAACTCAGTTGCAAGATTCGCAAACACTGACCCAAACATAACAGTCTTCACAGACTGAAGGAGGGACATATCAGAATGACTTTTTTGAAGAGTCTCACAAATGTTCAGTGGACTGATGTCTAAATTGAACTAGATGAGCCCCAACACCTTATCATCACCCCCATCCCTCACAAAATGCATACTCACACAACCTGCATAGTCACACACAAGAAGTATGCGTCATGACCAGTTTGTACTGGGTATACAGGTTAAGAGTTACTGCCCTTGGTAGAAATTCAGAAAAATAAGTCCAGCGCTGAAAATGCTGCATACATGGACCAGAGAGGTCAAACTCTTTTCCCCCATAAACATAGGCCATCCTAGTCTGTCTTACAGACCCTGATACAAATATATAACAAATACATCCCATGCAAGTCTATAATGTTTGGCAAGTCTAGATCACTGCAGTATCAGGGCTCCTTTTTATTATATTTTTTTTAAGATAACTGAACAACTGTTTTTTTATGTACGATATGTTCATTTCATTACTTACTTCACTGTATTAAACACACTCGAGAAAGAAATATACTATTTGAAAAACTATCCAGACAAAATGTAAATGTAAATGTCCACAGTCATGAAGACAAATTATTTCAATACATCCTGTCAAATAATGAAGCAGTCAATATCAACTGCATTTGTTTCCACATCTATAATTTCAAACAATAAATACACCCTCATAATCAACCGTTGACATTTTATGTATAAAAATATGTAATATTGATTATTTTGTTTTTGTATGTGTCTACAGGAATGTAAATTATGTTTGTCTGTATATATGTATATATAAATCATAATGTCTTGTCTTTTAAAATTGCATCTGTCCCGTAATGGAACGTTTCTGCAATAAATACTATCTTATCTTATCTTATCTTTCAGAGACTAAATGTTAGTCTGAGGCCATCCCAAAGATGTAGGTGAAGGTGTTGGCTTTGGAAGATTCATAAACATTTTACACACGTGTGTGCGAGGCGGAAAGGGTCCTCGTATCAGTTATTGGACTCCCACCACCATAAACCCCCTGTAAAGATAGTGACAGGGTTGACATAAAGGTCTTCCATAATTCTACTCACAGATGAGTAAGCTTTATTGGAATAATATTGACAGGGCATATTCTGAATCTCATGAAAGCTGACATGGCTTTGTTGACATTCAGAATCCACTATCAAGTACTGAGTCGGCTCATAAATTCAGAAATAAACTTCACATGTACTTGCATGCGACCTAATTCTTAAAAAAGTCTGTTTATCTCTCAAAAAGAAATTCTGTGGGCTTATATAAATATTCAAATCGTTCAATACCTTTATATTGTTTGTCACTGGTGAAAAAATCAATTACGCATAATTCTGGTAAAACAACAGTTCAATTCACAGCACATGACCTGTCGACACTTTCCTTTTGCCACAAAAATCCATGCCTCAAATTCAAAGTTTTCCTTTAAAGTAAAAATCAACAAGAAGACACGTGTAGCATTTGAAAGATTTAAAGAATTATGGGTAAATATGACACACAGGGGCAACAAAACGTGGTACCGTGTCACGAGGGATGTTGTTGGCCGAGGATCTGCACCAGGTATAATCTTGTAACCTCAAGTTAGACTTTCTGAGAGCATGGCTGATGTCGACACAAACAAAAAGGGCACATGTTCACCCCTAAATCCCGATAATCTCCTCACCCCCAAAAGAATTGTTTAATCTAGGCTTGAAGACTCCAGGGTCTGGCTTAGGACCATTGCACAGCTTTGATGTCAATTGATAGGCGCTCCACTGACTTCAGTGACATTTAAATTAATGCATGCCCCATAACATGACAAATATACCAGAGCCAAAGCAGCTTCTGCAAAATATGATTTTAGAACTTTCCCTTTGCCAAATAGGAAACTGATTCATCCTAAGGATTATAATGCGAGTTCAAATTCAGTGTGTATATGCTAATAAACCCACAACTCATGGTTACTCTGAACTTTCCAGAGCAAGGTAGACATGACCTGCATCTATGTTCTCTTATCACATCATAGCTGTACACATAAAAAATTTTTTTTTAAAACTTGGTTGGATAGATGGGTCACTTTTTGAACCAAAAATTGTCCTCTGTTAGGAGGTGAGGTGAGGTGAAATGGGGTTTAACGTCGCGTCCAAGATTATTGCACTTATATAGCAACGTGCATGTCCGTGTGTGGTGTGGCTGCATGAACTAGTCCTGACTGATGCCGATTTATAGTGCTAGCCCACTGAGATACCATGCCGCAGTTTAACATGAATACCCCACTCAGACACAGTATACTGACTCCGAGCCGACCAGTCCTTGTTTTAGCTCCTTAATGCCGAGTGCCAGACAGGGTAACAACAAGTACCATCTTTAAACATCTTTTGGTATGACGCGGCCAGGGATTGAACCCCGGAACTTCCGCTCTCCGGGCGGACGCTCTACCACTAAACCACGGAGGCTGTCGTCCTCTGTTAGGAAGCATAAGGAGGCAACGCATTCATCTTTGGGCCAGCCATGGCTTTCATGATCATGTATTTATCCTAAACATAAAGCTTACTGGATGCAGTAATAATTTCATGAATCCATAACATTTAAAACAAATTCATCATATTGCCATGTAAAATATTTGCAAATTCCATATTGCTGTGTCGAGTTTATTTTCCTGATATAATTAGCTGAGATATTTTAAGGACTGCAAAATAAACTTTGTCAGCATGATATTGATTTACTGGCACAAAAATTACACAACAATTACATTGTCCCTTGGCTGTTACAACTGGAACTCACATACATACAATAGCTCAGCATGGAAAGGCTGCAACACAATAATCTCCTGACCAAATGACCTGTTACGCTGTTCCTAAAATATTTTTATTTCTTTTCACATGGGTACAATGTGTGAAGCCCATTTCTGGTGTCCCCCGCCGTGATATTGCTGGAATATTGTTAAAAGCGGCGTAAAACCAAACTCACCCACTCTTTTCACAATGTTATCATGCACAACTTTTGCAAACTACATTCATTTCCACATTTTGCATCAGTTGCCACAGAACAGCCTTTTTACACAGATCATATTTCAAAGAAATAATAAAGTTTATTAACATGCTAAACAACTTGTGTACCCTACACAGACATCAGAAAACAAAATGGAAGTTCTGTGATGTAGAAGGATAGATGAGTGACATATAAAGACATCCCCTGGGGGAGGTGCAGGACTGTGCCATGGGAGACAGGCTGATTGACCCTGATAGACTATACAGTGATAGCATCTACTTGGCCTGGGGGTAGCTATCTTGCTGATGGAAGCTGTCTCACCCCTCAGGGAACAATCAGTCCTATTAAACCTTAGCTCAACAGAAGTCTTCCCAGATCTGTAGTCTGAAGGTTTCTAAACTTGAATAACTGTGACCTACATAAGTGACATGTATGTATAGGTATAATTGTCTTAATTAAAATTAATAGAATAGACTGCTAATTTTGATAACATAACTAGCGGAGTGTTTGAATACCAAATACAGAAGCAGATCCATCACAGCCTCTTTTCTGAATGCAGCCAAACTTTAATATTCATATACCTGACTATATATAAAATTGTCTTAATTAAAATTAATAGGAGAGACTGCTTACTTTGATTACATAACTAGCAGAGTGTTTGAATACCAAAAACAGAAGCACCTCAATCTTAACTCTTTTCTGAACGCAGCCGAATTTTCCACCCTAAAACGTGTTTCAAGAACAATTTCGACTTTACCAGATAAGGTCACAGCTGTATCGCCAGTATCCATCAATACCTGAAGCAGCTTAATAGTGAAAAATGACTTGATTTTGCATAAACTTAGCATATTCTATTGATATCTTAGAGACACATTACCTTATTTAAAAAAAAAAGCCCTAATCTAACGGTCCTGCCATAACCACACAAACTCCACCACTGGCAGCAGCCACAGCCATGTCATGCGTATTACCGTGTCTTTGCACCTTCTCTCAGAAGGATAGCTCTAAGTTTATGACTTAACCTGTGTAAGTTTCACATATTAGTTTCAAAAATGGCTTTCTACCAAGGAGGTTTTTACACACTGCTTCTATGTTTCTGTTGGCCGGGAATGAAGTATTGGGCGCCCGTGTCTGTCACGTGCAGATTGGGCAACTTCGCCACCGACAGCTCAACAGAGGAGAACCTGCCTATGTGCAATGTGATTTGGTGCTTGCATTAGGTTGGCTCTTTATTTCCTTTCCAACAGATCTTACCCGTGAAGATCTGGGGTAGAATAGGTCTTCAGTAACCCATGCTTGCTGTGAGAGGCGACTATGCTTGTCGTAAAATGCGACTATGCTTGTTGTTAGAGGCGACTAACAGGATTGGGTCCTCATTGCGTAGATCGATGCTCATGATCTCATTCACTGGATTATTTGCAGACCACCGTCATATAGCTGGAATATTGCTGGGTGCGGTGTTTAACAACAAACAATTAAGCGAGTGAGTGAGTGAGTGAGTGAGGCTTAACACCGCTTTTAACAGTAGCGTAATGTGGGAGGAAAGCCCGAAGTGATGCAGGTCTTAGACATTTACCACTTCAGTGAAACCCACGAGCTCGGGTATGGTGCTGACAAACCTTGAATCGGGGCCAAACCGGGATTCGAACCCACCCACAAACAAACAAAATCTTACAGATCTGCAGTACAAGGAGTATCTGTTGGTCAATGTTTCAGTATGATTGTCTTCATCCCAATTCCTCATCTGCTGGAGATGCAAGTGCAAGTTTGTTGTTGGAATTATCAGAAACACCTCTGTAACCTCACACCAGGTGTACAATATTCCACAAGTTTGTGATCTGGTCCCAGGGAAATGGCATCTATCCTAACTATATTTTCTAGGTTGTGAGTGAGTGAGTGTGTGAGTGTGTGAGTGAGTGAGTGAGTGAGTATGGTTTTACGCCGCTTTTAGCAATATTCCAGCAATATCACGGCAGGGGACACCAGAAATGGGCTTCACACATTGTGCCCATGTCGGGAATCGAACCCTGGTCTTCAGCGTGACGAGCGAACGCTTTAACCACTAGGCTACCCGACCGCCCCCAGCGAGTTAGTGAGTGTGGTGTTACATGGCATTCAGCAATGTCCAACTATAGGCTTATCACATGGCCATGAAAATAATCAAGTCTGAAATATAGTGACTGAAATCATGAGCAACGATCCACATGTGGAAAAGTGTAATCCCAAATACAACATTTGTTACACAATTTAATCAAGTACAATTATTTATGTTTGTCTCATGACCACATTCACAAAGCATCTCGTGAATCACAAGAATGTGTTTGGCCAATACCACGAGTGCATACCTGACACTGATGGATTCTCCACTGACAGGGATGCAGCAATCATATAGCAAGCATTTCATCAAGTTATCTGAGGTTGAAACTGAAACGTCTTGCAAAGAGCGTAAGCGTTGAAGTACATAAAATATTATTATGTTATATAAATAGGCAATACTTTGTTAAAGACATATCAACAGAGCTCCAGATAACTTTTTGAGCAATTGAGTTTTTACTCCAGGGTTTCTATGTTAATTGGGTTATTACATTTTTCATTGGGTAACCTATATTTTTTCACTCATCTATTCATCACTCTATTGGGTTATCCCCAAAAGAGTGAACATTTAAAGACTGAAAAAAATGAAATAATGTTTTAGATGTATATAACCATGATAACTGTTCTAAACATATAGGCTTGACTCGGAAAGTAAATTAGCTCGTAATTGTGTTGCGGAAATTAGCTCCTTTGTACGCATGCTGAAAAATCTTCATTGGGTATTTACGCGTGCTGTTTTTATACATATGAGTTTTCATTTAGTGCATGCGTTTCTGCTGTACGCAGGTTAATTGAAAGTAATTGGGGTTTTAATATTCTATTTTTTTTATTTATTTTTTTTAATTTTTTTTTATTTTTTTTTGGGGGGGGGTATTTTATGCATATACACTTCTTCTCTTTGTTGCTCTGTACCCAACTAGACCACAGCTTATTTTGGTAAAGTGGTTTATGAAAAATAACTACTGGTCCCTACAGTCTACTAGAGTTTGGAGTAGCGGACCAGAGGCCATGTTGTATCCTGGTCTTAAGTTAATATTAGCGAATAGATATCAAAGACATGTTTCAGATGTAAAAATGCTACCAAGACTTGCCAGACTCCTGGCAAAATGTTCTCATTCAACTCTCATGAACATGGTAATCTTTTAATCCTTACTCACAGAAAACCTTTTAATCTCTTCTCACAGATAACACAACGTCAAGCCAACTGGGAGCTTCTCATGGGGCAACCAAGATTCGCTATGGCCGAGTTGAGACTTGAGAGCTTGCCACCACGTCAATCAGTGAACAAAGAAGGCTAACTACTGCTATTTAGACAAACCACTAAGTGCATCATTCGTATTCACAAGCTAAACTACACCAAGGCCTTCCCATATAGACAGGGATTAACTCTCAACCTCAAATAACCACTTTTGAAAGTTAAAAAGTTCAACTAAAGGGACAACAGCCTTTCTGAGTAGTAGACAAGCTAGATCCACCATTTCCCCCAACTTCATAATCATTCATGAAATGTTTCAAAGTGAGGGAAACTTGTCAATCAAATGTTTTACATGTGAGTTGAGATTTGTTTGTTTGTTTGTTGTTTTAAAGCCGCAATATTCCAGCTATATGACAGCGGTCTGTAAATATTCGAGTGTGGACCAAACAATACAGTGATTGAGATCATGAGCATCGACCTACGCAATTAGGACCCGATCCTGTTAGTTGACTTTTACGACAAGCATAGTCGCCTCTTACAGCAAGCATGGGTTACCGAAGACCTATTCTAACTCGGATCTTCTCGGTTGTTGAGAAACTACTCTCGTGAATTGCCATAGGCTTTGCTTGAGGTGCCTGAAGGATTGTTGGTTTACTGTATGAGGACAAGATAAGTTCACATGGGTGTCAACTGGGTGAAAAACTGTATTTCAGCAATAACACAGCTTGTCAACAGAAAGCATAAGCAAGAGGCCAATCAAGAGGAGAGTTGCAGACATTGATCACTTGGATGTAACTCTGATGTGAGGTCTGGTGCCAACAGACCAACACTTGATAACTATGGGATTCAAACCCATGACCACCAGTGCCAGACAGGACAAAGGATGCAGCTCTGTACATCAAATTGTGGCTCCCTGGCTTATGGCATCTCTGCCCTGGGGAAACTTCAAATAAAAAAGCCGTTTAAAAAACTTACCTCTTTTTCGGAGAGACATTTTTTGCTTCTATCACCCAGAGTTTCATAGAGTTGTCGGTCCTCCGACATTCCTCCTGGTTGGGGCGTACCGTCCGCCGCAAACTGGGGGGAAACAACAAGATTTAACTACCTCACTCATGACAACTAAAAAGTCGGGCTCCAGTCATGCAAACATCAGATTCTGTCACAACTAAGGGATGCAACTCTGCACAGTGACCTGTTGGCCCAAATGACTGAGCCAAGTGTCCCAGCTGGATCTAGAATCTTAACTTATGATATGTTTGGGAAGCTTCAATCTTTCTTACAGTTTGTATTAATATCTGAAATAATCAAAAAAAGGTTGACCAAAGTGAAAAGTATCGATGAAGCTATGTAACATTAAGCTGCCACTGACATTCACATATATATTGCTTCATCAAAATATTCTTCTCAACAGTGCCCCTTTTCAATTTTTGACTGCTACACTTTGAAAAAACAACATCTCGAGACAAATTAGGCTTAAAATATAACATGTGGAGCTCTAATGGGTACTCGTGTATTTGAGCAAGGATCTGGCTCAGATGGAATCAAGTCCCATGTCAAGGGTGCAAGGACCCCTACCAAGGGAGATAACTCACATCTGCAATTAACACTTAGCTATGTGTTGCAGTGAAATGTCTGTATACATTTTGAGCGGGTTGGGTTTAATGCTGCTATTAACTATTTAAATTACGGCATGTCCCTAATGCCCTTTGTGATACATGTCTTAGACATTTACCCTTTAGAAAAAAGGGGGCGGTGGGGTAGCCTAGTGGTTAAAGCGTTCGCTCATCACACTAAAGGCCTGGGTTGATTCCCCACATGGGTACAATGAGTGAAACACATTTCTGGTGTCCCCCGCCGAGATATTGCTGGAATATTGTAAAAAGCGGCGTAAAACCATACTCACTACCCGTTAGAGCCCTACAGCCATGGTACACCAGAGTTACCTACCTTTCTATCCACTTGTCCCTCTCCTCAGCGGTGCGGCAGGAGATGTACTTGCTGCCGTGGCTGGTGGACACTTGGAAGCAGTGGTCCTGTCCGAGGACACTGCTGTGCAGGGGTTTGATCTCCAGGTCCGGCGCGGTCAGGTCGATCGAGTGCATACTGGAGGGATTGGTCAGGAGAGATTCATGGGAGCGGGAGGTCCGTATCCGGGAGCTAATCAGAGACCTGCAATAAAACAAATTACGTTGAGGACCTGGAATACTTATGGACAACTGACGTATGCAAGAAATTGTAATTTATTTTGAACATGGTCAGTGTGCTGAAATGACGACATGAATGACAACAAAAGAAAAATGTGCGCAAAAACAGAAATCTGTAACCTCCCAAACATTCAGACTGTACAGCGCCCAAAGTGACGTAGGCAGAAGATGTCACTCAACATTCAGCCAAACTGATGACAGTGCAAACACTAATCCAATCAGAACTTTTGTTCTTTTCTCCAATAGTATTTTCCTTCAACAACTCAGATGTTTCTTTGAGAAACACTCAGTGCGCCATGTAACAACATCACACATCTCCTTCTAGTTAGCATCTCGCTGTTATTTACAAATCCTATGTTCCTATGTTGTTAGCAAGAGCCTCACACAAATCTGTAAATCCGTATTGCCCTCGGAAGACAGTTCTCTAGTTCTTTCACCAGATATGTAAATGATGCACATTCCAGTGTCCCAGCTGTGGAAATATATGAACATATCGCCACCTGTATATCATAATGAATGTCTGGCTGTATTCCTCACACCTTCTGCTACGTTCCTCACAACTTGCTCAATCAATAATCACTGACCTAGATACAGAAGCCATGGATTTCATTTGCCATTAATGTCTTACTGGCATTCTTTCGATTTACCATGATCAAACACTGATAGGAAAAGCTTGAATCTGTCAGATTCTGTTTGATTGGAGACCAGATCTCATGCATTGTTTAAAATGCCTTGCAATAGTACACTTCAATAGTTGTAAATCAATATATATTCCCTCAATGTGAAGTAGTTGACCAATAGATAGTATCTCAATGACAGTGATTTACCAATACTTGTATTCTGGATGGGTATAGTAATGTGGGTTGATGTAAAAATTGATTAAAGCTGTAAATTATTAACACAGAAACATTGCAAAAGAACCTTCTATCTGGCATCGTCTTCACTGGCATGCACAAAGTTCCAATCACAATAAAAAAAAATTCAAAGAAATAAAACTTTTCAAGCTCTTTTGAAAGAAACAGCAAGGACATCATGAAAGCTTTCAAAGAAAATATTACAATGTGCCGATTGTTTATAAAACACCACCTGATTGGACAAAACAGTAATCCCAACCACACATCCATACTGTCTTCCTGAAAACTGTTCGTCACAAGTGTCAGCTGAATCCTTGTGAGATGTACATCCGGATTGTAAAGGTGATAGCTCCTTCCAACTACTTCCACTCAAGTAGCTTACATCATACTATATCCTTGTGAAAACATACAAGTTCCTTATTATGAGTCAGTAACAATGACACTTATTTTATCAGAAAAGCTCAAAGTCAAACTAAGAAACTGAGAATCAGTCATACTAGGAAACAATAACATCCTTCAAAATATTTAAATCAAAACTGCTCAAATCATGTGTCCTCAAATCAATAAAGTGCCGAAAAATGAAACACAAAATATTGCCGCTAAGGCGTTCCCATTTTACTGTTTTACCCTGTATGAAGGAAACCATCAGCTGAAGCAACATCTTGAACTCAGTCCTTGCTGCGTCAGAGATCATAAGAACTCAGATCAGATAATATTCCCAATCCGCATGTAATAATCATAAAAAATCAGGTCACAACATTGTCCCTGTCCACAGGCAAACGTCATGAGAAATCAGGTCAATGTTCCCCCACAAGGGGTTTGACTCCACACCTGACAAGCAACAGACACAAGTCAGTCTAGTAACGGATGACCACACAATTTCAAATGTCCATCAAGTAAACATAGATCCTACAAACCCAAAACAAATGGAGGGAAGATTCAAGGGTTTTCTGTGAGTGGGGGCCAGGCAGCATGGGTGAGGTGAGGTGAGGTGAGGTGAGGTGAGGTGAGACGAAATTGGGTTTAACGTCGCGTCCAAGATTATTGCACTTATATAGCGATGTGCATGTACATGGATGTGTTTGTGTGGCTGCTTATACTAGTCCAGACTGATGCCGATTTATGTTGCTAGCTCGCTGAGATACCATGCCGCAGTTTAACATGAATACCCCACTCGGACACGGTATACTGACTCCAAGCCGACCAGTCCTTGTTTTAGCCGAGCACCAGACAGGGTAACAACAATCTTTTAACGTCTTTTGGTATGACGCGGCCAGGGATCAAACCCCGGACCTTCCCCTATCCGGGGGAACGCTCTACCTCTAGACCACGGAGGCAGTCAGGCAGCATGGGAGTGACACCTTGTGAAAGACTGCATGAGTGAGTGAGTATAGTTTTGTCCTGCTTTATGCAATATTCCAGCAACATCACAGCAGGGAACAGACATGTTGTACCCATGTGGGAAAAGAACCCTGGTCTTCAGAGTGACGAGCGAATGCTTTAACCACATGGCTACCCCACCGCCCCAAACTGAGTGCATGAAAGTACTTGCAGGACTTGCAGCTACACTGTAGTGGGGATTACATGAGGCACCCAGGACTGTCCAGCCACAGGTGCTACAGGAATGAAAGAGGATCTAGGAACAGGCAAGTCTCCACCACAAGTAAGTAAGAGTAGTACATGATAGTAACCATCTTATCCAGGATTATGAGCAGGGAGAAGCATGTTTTTTTTTAAAATCTGAAAGTTGGTCAGGTTCTGGAGGACCTATGATTCATGTAATGGCATGTGTCACTCAAATTACTCTTAATGTAATGAAATCCCCAGTATTCAACAAAACGTTTCATCCTTGTTAGAGTGAATAAACACATCCTCAACCTTCATCCCCGAGTCAGAGAGGATTGACAGCGCACCGCAGTGTCTGCGCCAGGAAGGAAGTGCATGTAATCTAGGTCGCCATCCGGACACCATGAGGACATCAAGTCCTGGTGCTGATGTCGAGTGCCTGACAGCAGTGAGTGTGTTGACACCACCACCACCAGTATTCAAGCCATATTCAACTACAGCCCTGAAACCCCCTTAATGTAAACCATTCACCACAACTGACATCCACACCAATAACCACTGATAGCCAAACCACTAACCACTGATAGCTGAACCAATAACGACTGATAGCCAAACCAATAACCACTGATAGCCAAACCAATAACCACTGATAGCCAAACCACTAGCCACTGATAGCCAAACCAATAGCCACTGATAGCCAAACCAATAACCACTGATAGCCAAACCAATAACGACTGATAGCCAAACCAATAACCACTGACATCAACACAACTAACCACTGATAGCCAAACCAATAACGACTGATAGCCAAACCAATAACGACTGATAGCCAAACCACTAGCCACTGATAGCCAAACCAATAACCACTGACAGCCAAACCAATAACGACTGATAGCCAAACCACTAGCCACTGATAGCCAAACCAATAACCACTGATAGCCAAACCAATAACCACTGATAGCCAAACCACTAGCCACTGATAGCCAAACCAATAACCACTGATAGCCAAACCACTAACCACTGATAGCCAAACCAATAACCACTGATAGCAAAACCACTAACCACTGATAGCCAAACCAATAACCACTGATAGCTGAACCAATAACCACTGACATCAACACAACTAACCACTGATAGCCAAACCACTAAGCACTGTCATCCAAACCAATAACCACTGATAGCCACACATGAAACCACTAATACCCACATGACAAACCACTGATATCCACACAACTAACTACTAACATCAGCACAACTAAGCACTGTCATCCAAACCACTAACCACTGATAGCCAACTCTCCAGCCACTGATATCCACACAACTAACTACTGACATGAACACAACTAAGCACTGATATCCACACAACTAACTACTGACATCAACACAACTAAGCACTGATATCCACACAACTAACTACTGACATCAACACAACTAACTACTGACTTCAAACCACTAACCACGCCTGTGACAACACGGTTACCACATCCATGAATACCAGAGTCCCATCCCTGGTCCAACACCACCAGTTGAGCACCATCCCAGCACTCAACACGCACAGCGTGAAAGCACCCAGACACATGAATAAAACCACAGTGCTTGCCCTTGTGATCAAATAGCTATCACCATGCAAGGCTGAAGTTACCGATTCCACCACAGCAGTTACCGATTCCAGGCAGCTTAATTATACCATGGTAAAATGCCAATAATTCCTGCTGCATGTGTTGGGGGCCATGTCAGTTCTGTGTAAACACAAGCTGGTCAGCTGACTGGATTCCTGCAATACATGTCTGACACTGACAAATGGCAGGTCTAACCTAGCCTGACCCGGGTCAGCTGACCTGGAACAACATTGGGTCACATGTGTCACATGTGTCACATCTACATATTGAGAGACGAAGATACTGCAACATTCCAACAGAAGAAAGATTATGTGCCTTTTGTGATTTTAATGAAACAGAAGATGAGGAAGACTTTCTGTTGCGTTGCCCTCTCTAAAAAGATCTACTCAATTCATCACCCGGCTTTGCTATGCACCTACTATCGTTAAAAATGCTATTAAATCCACCAGAGCCCTTTGCAAAAATTATATCTAATTTCATTCACAAAATGTTCAGGCAAAGAAAATCTGCATCTCCTCCCTAACAATATAATCATTGCAATATTTGTATTCTGTTTTGAATGTCAATGTTTTTAATTAGTCATGTTCATGTTTTGTACCCTGCCCCCTGGGTGTTTTGTACAATAAATATTCTTCTTCTTCTTCTTCTATTGCAAGAGGCAGATACAACACAACTACTGCTGAACAAAAAGATTCTGTCTCCTCTGCAACAAAAATGATGTAGAAGATGAAACTCCCTTTCCTTTACACTGTCCCGTATATCTCTCTGAAGGAAAATTACTAGGGCTGGCCAAAAATATCGATAATCGGAATTACCATCAATGGGAAGAAATATTAATGATTATCGATATAAAAATTGTGTCATTGATAATACCTTACATAAACTATTGTATTGAAATAAAGTCTAGATTTACCCAAACAGATTTG